TATCATTAACAGATTCCTAAATATTTAAAATATAATTTATATTGCTCTTCAGCAAATACAAGGCCATTTCTTCAGCATATACCAGCACTAGGCAACCTACTGCATGTAGGCTGGATGCAACCTACAGGAACTCTGAATCCAACCAGTGGCCAACAAATTGTTCTGACAGCTCACACCCCAGACTCCAAGCTGCCTGTTTCCGCCTTTTTATCTTGTGGGTATGCAGTCCTGAAGGCATGTCTGGGACATGCCCATATCACATCACCTTCATACTAAGATTTTCTTACATGAGCTTCTGGCTGTAAAACTTCAGTTAAAAACATAAAGAAAATATTGATGTAAGTAAATAAGACAGATACCAGCCATAAAGGATCACAGCACTAACAGCTTTTCTAAACCCAAGATCTGTAAGTCCTAAAACCACCTACAAAGCACAGCTGAAAGCCAGTTATTACTCTTATAATAAAGCCTTCTGATATGCCTTACTACTCCTTCTTATCCAGTTTCTAAAATCACACACAAGACATTTAGAATAAATTTGTGACATAATTTTGATTCAGAATTGTTGATCCAAATGTTGTCCTATTCTCACCTTAAACTACTTCATCCCCAGTCATTAAATTCTGCAAGTGTGAAAACCAAGTAAATTTAAACCAAAATAAGCTGTATCTATGTTTTGAATTTGCAAATCGTGGACTAAAATAGTAAAGACCTGGCCTTATCTATCAAATCAGCTCATTCTAAGACCAGATAATTATTTTAATCACATGAAATTTTATGAAATAAAATTATTTACCATTTCTATAACTTTTTCTGTTGCACTGTCTAGATTTTCAATATCAAACTGATGAGCTGGTGCTGTAACCATTTTTCTTCTTAGCTCATCATTTGCATGGGCCATCTGTGGTAAAAAGCTCTGTACTCGGTCCAAAACTGAAAAAGAAGTAATTATCACATGTATATAAACAAACATGCACTTAAGTTTATACAGTTATACCTCAGAAATATAAGCATTTAAACAGATTCCATTTCAACTGCAATTTCTAGCTGCCTACCATATTAAAGATGTTTAAATTACATTAATTTAAACAGTATTCAATTTCCCAAGACAAACAGCAAAAAATTAATGGTGTGACCAGCAGGATCAGGGAAGTAATCATGTGCTCATCCCCCTGTACTTACGGCTACTCCTTGGCATCCTCATTGTCTGTAAGGTTGTGGCCTCCTTGTTGCTGCATTTTGATCTGATCAACAAAGTTTCTTCCAGCCCTGGAAACAAATGAGTGAATGTTCACCTTCATCAATCACAAATATCACATTTTAACTGTGAGGGTCACTACTGCTCTGCAGGTTCAACACAGAATTAGACAAATTCAAGGCAGCAGTTATAATGAGGCACTGCAAGGACTAAGCAGGAATATACCCCCTAGCATCCCCCCCCTTTAGGTGCAGACACTGTGTGAACTAACAAGTTTAACAAGGCCAGGCTGAATGGGGCTGTGACCAACCTGGTCTAGTGGAAGGTGCCCCTGCCCACGGCAGGTGGGGTTAGAACTGAATGACCTTTAAGGTCCCTTCCAACCCAAATCATTTGGAGATTCTATTAAGTCCTCTGCAACTATCATCTGCTACTGCACTTAGAAGAAAGAATACTGAGCTATGCAGACCACTGGCCTGACCCTGCAGGTCACTTCATTGGGCTTCAACCGTTTTTGAAGTCTTTGTCAAGATTTATTTAGTGACAGTTACCAATGCACAGATAAACTACCTGTGATACCCCACAGCAAACACAGTGAGGTAGCATCTAACATGTGCTACTTCACTCATTTAAACCCCTTCCCTGACGTCCGTGACTGCGGTGGCCATCAATGAAATGAGGCCAGAACTGTGGTGCTGATGACCCAAAATAACCGTTTCCGAGAGTAGCGCCGTAAAGGCCAAACTATGTAGGCGAAACGTTGCATTAGACAAGTTCTTACACCGTCTACTGAGCCATTGGCCTATTATCGTTAAATACAGCTAAGGTTTACTTCCTTGTAAGACTTCTTTATCCTCACAGAAATGCTGTTACTACTGCGCATATCCACTTAACGTGGCTTTCCGCTGTATTCACTTCGTACCGCAGCAGCACTGCCTGGGAAAGGGGCGCTCCTTCAAAACACGCTGCATAAGGGAGCGAGCACCGGCACCCCGCCCGCCTCCTCGGGCTGCCCGCCGCTGGGCGAGGCCCGATGCTCCCCGCAGGCCGAGCCGACACCTCGATCCCCGGCTCAACCCTCCCCGACCGGTGTGTGCAGGGCTGGGGCGGGGGGGGACTGAGCCCCGCAGCGCCGGTCCCGGCCGAGAGGTCGGCGGGGGGGCCCCACTCAGCGTGGAGAGCTGCGCTGCCCCTTCCGGCCCGGCCCGGCCGCGCTCCCGCCGCCGCGGAACCCTCTCACCTCCTCGGAGCCCCACGGCCAGCAGCTCCCGGGAGGCAGCCGCGCCACCATCCCCCGCCATGCCCCGACACAACCGGAAACGGAGCCGGGCCGGGGGCTCGCCCCGCAGCGCCCTCTGGAGGCCGGGAGGAGCAAAGCCGCCCCAAAGCCGCGGCGAGGGTTTAGCCGCATGGGGCTCCACGGCGTTACCGCCGCTCCTTACCGTGTCCGGTAACCGGCACAGATACCTGCAGTCATATAAATACGGGGTTAATAATGCGGAAATGAAAACAATTCTTGGTACAAAGACAAAAAAAGGGGGTTTTAAAATCTTTACGGAACGATTTGGCATGAAAACTCCCATCTCATCGCCCGGAGGAGAAATGAAACCAACCCTCAAGCAGGTAGCACTGCCTGAATGGCTGCCAGCTGCTGCTCCTCTTTGAAAACCTTCCCGTTTTCACTGTCACAATTTGACAAACGCACCTAAAATTAAACGTCAGGCCCTGAGGGACTTTCAATTATCTCTTGGAAAGCAGCTTGCACAACCGCCAAGTTCAGCGGACACTGGCCACCCTGTTGCTCAGGATTTGCTCTCCAGTTTCTGCCCCTGTTTATAATGTGAAACTGCGAAAAGAGAACTGAATGCTTGATGTGAGACAAGATGGGAAGTCCAAGCCAAAACAGAGAAAAAGTAGTAACCAGGTGGGTGGTGTTTATATGCCCTCATTGCAGAACACAAGGGAAGAAACCAAAAATCAGATCCCAGTATCTTAGAATTAACAAATACAAGGTTAGACATTAGGAAGAAATTCTTCACCGTACGGTTGGTGAGACACTGGAACAGGCTGCCCAGAAAAGCTGGGCAGCCCCATCCCAAGCCCAGAGCAGCTGTGGTTGCACCATCCCTGGCAGCATTCAAAGCCAGGTTGGACAGGGCTTGGAGCAACCTGGTCTAGTGGAAGGTGTCCCTGCCCATGGCAGGGGGTTGGAACTGAATGAGCGTTAAGGTCCCTTCCAACCCAACCCATACTGTGACTCTGGGAGTACAGAGGAAACCTTCTGCAGGGCCTCAAGCTAGAGCCTACCCTGCTGCTTTCCCACCAGCCTGTCTCTAAACAGTGTCCTCTGTCACTTTCCCTTGGGATCACCTTCCTTTGGGATGTACCAGGTCCATTCCACCAAATTTTCAACCCAGTTTGCACCTTTCTACCCAGTGGTGCTCCAGGATTTCAATTTTTCTGAAAACCTCCTGTTGCTAGCTATGCTGCCTGAAAGATCTCAAGGACTTTTGGCCACAAAAGTAACTCTTGCTGAATCTGCACACAGCCCAGAGTAACAGCGTATGAACCTTAAACAATCTATTTCACCCATGGATATTATGTGATTTCGGTAGAAGGTGTGACATAACACCATCTAGGAACCTGTAATGACTGATGGAATGATTGCCCAAGATCACCGACAAGGAATTGGAAAAGCCAGAAATAGCGCCCTCAGGTGCTGTTCCCAAACCTCAGCTGCACAGTCCAACCTGCCGGCAGCACCAGTGGTTATGATCTTTATCTGTTTTACAGGGTGGCCCAACTACATATCCACATGTGAGCACACCTGAAGCATGGATATGTGTGGCTACTACCAGGGCAGGGGACAACAGCACCCATAGCCCAAATTCCCAACAAATGCAGACTTGAGGCAGCACCTACCACTGAACTAATAGTGCAAAGGTTTGGGCTCCTTCATTTATTCAGTGCCATATTGACCCAAGAGTTCAAGATGATGCTGCGTATTTCGTTACAGTAGTGCAGATTGTTTTGGCCCCAGTCACAGAATCTGAGAGATCTCCTCAGAGAGAAGGAGGAAGAGAACAGTGATTTCTTGATGGTGACAGCAGCCAAGTCTACAGCATCTTTTTTCCTTTCTATAGACAAAACAAAAGGCAGCTTGGGCAAATCACCAAGTGTTGGCCTACCATGGATCTAGATCCTGTGGGTATGTGTGGAAAAGCAGAGATTTAAGCACAGGTAAAAAAAACATTAGAAGATGTGCAAGAAGATGCCCCATTCCTAGCATTTTTCAAGGCCAGGTTTGACAGGGATTTGAGCAACCTGGTGTAGTGGAAGGTGTCCCTGACCATGGAACTACATGATCTTTAAGGTCCCTTCCAACGCAAACCGTTCTGTGATACGATTCTAAATAATGCTAGTAATGATAATAAATGCACAAGTTTAGCCAGCTTCACCGTTTTAATGCATTGATATAAAGCGTGTCTCAAGACAAAGAGTTTTTGAGGACTGGTTAAAAGCACTCAGCAAGGCCTTGCCTCTGTATTTAGTTTAATGCAGGCAGTTGATGTCTACAGAGTCACTCGCAGACTTACGCTAAAGCACTTGGTGTTGGGCACAGCGCACGCAGCCTAGCTGGGCAAGAGCGAGAGAATATTCAACTGACCCAAATACTGAGATCAGCCGGATTCCTCGGGAAGCTATTTTTAGCCAGCTGGCAGGAGAATGCCCTAGTGCTCACATTCTGGAGCGAGCACAAACCAGAAAACTCTAGCGCTAGGTCGCCACGAGAGCTTCTCCGACTGGAAGCGAAGCCGCCCGGTGGCGGCGGCTGCGGCTGCTGCGCATCACGGGTCACATCATCGCGGGGGCCGCCCGCCCTCCAGCCCTTTCCGCGCCTGCTCAGTGGCGGCGGCGCTCACCTAGCTCCGGAGCTGTCACCGCCGCCGGGCTGCTCCCTCCCCACCGCCGCGATGGAGCGGGACCCGGGGCCGCCGCCATCGCCCTCGCCCAGGTGAGGGGAAGGCGCGGCCTGACGGGGGCGGCGGCGGAGGTGGAAGGGGAGAGGGGCTGGGGTGGGCTGGCGACCTGCCGCCCCGGGGCGAGGGAGGCGGCGGTGATGGGGAACGGCGGGCGGGAAAGTTTCCTCCGGAGCGGCGGAGCTGCCAGGCGCCGCCCTGCAGGCGCTGCCCCGGCTCCGGTGCCCGAGGGGACCGACCGCCCCGGTGCGCGGTGCGGCTCACCCCGTCCCGCCCCGGGCCCTGAGGAGCCCTCGCAGCCTCTCTCTTGCCACCCGTACCGCGCCGGTACCCTGCCCTCCGCAGACCCCCGCAGCATCATGCGCTGCTCCAGGTAGCCTGGACAATGAGCCTTTTCTTCGGCTTCGCTGTGTCTGCGCAGGATCTGTCCCGCGTTTCCAGTGGCACTGATTCCCTGGCCTCTGTACGTCCGTATGTGCTCGCATTGCTCTTCCCACCTGGCATCTAAAACCAGGCCACAATCTGTCACCGCAGATGCGCTTGCGAGACAAGCATGGAACTTGTACGCAAATAGCACGCATGCAGACTAACACCGTCATCTATTCTTGTTTACAAGCATTTTTTGTTTACAAGCATTGTAACTGACATGCAATGGTACGCTGATGCTCTTTTCATACTTTTCTGCCAAAACTAGGAGCTTCTCGTGATTTACCTTACTTTCTACTTTGGAATTAATTCTCAATTAAGTTGAGGTTGAGGCTGTGTCTCTTTAATTTCAGTGAAATTAAATTAATTCAATTTCAATTTAATTTCAGTGAAAACAATAATTTCCTCCCCACCCACCCCACTGTCCAGGATGTGGTTGTGTGTCTTGTTCATTCACATTTGGTCCTAGATTACAGAGCACACTGCATTAGCCAGGCTCTAATAAGCAGAATGCATAAAATTAAGTAGTTGTTCAGTCATAGTGTCAGGAACAAAACATAAATACAGGAAAAAAGTCAGTTCATGAATCTTTTCTGGGTAGAGTCCTAGCAGGATTTAATAGATAACTGACATCCTGAGCTGTCCTCACTTTACTGGTTCAGTAATGCTGGTCGAAAAATGAGAGCAGGTGGGAGGACCTGTTTTGGCAGCATGCCCTACATACACTGCCTTAAAGAGGTTGTGAAACCAGAACCATAAATACTACAGTATGACTGGTAGACACTTCAGAAGTAGAAATAACAGTGTATCATTTTCTTTTCAAATACCTCAGGATATTATCCACAGAAAACAATGGGAAGTCTGTATCCTAGTGCCTCAGTTAATAAGCAGTTCATCCCTCCTTGGTGATGACAGTGGAAACCCCTAATCAGGATCCCCAACAGTACAGTTAGGACTCATCCTGGTAAGTACGTCTTGCTTACTTAATCTAGAGGGCTGTATTACCTTATATTTCAAACCTTCCCACCTGCCTTTAATGGACTGGATGTGATTTGCCTGGTATTTTTCATGTTGGTATTCCACTTGAGTGATTTTACAACCTGACCACATTTCACAGCTTTGCTGCCTCATTTCTGGCTCTGCTTTGGCCTTTTCTAACTGAGTTGCCTTAAAAGTGCATAGGCAAACCAAATCTTTTTCCTCCAGCTGCTTTTGTCTTCCCTGGGGCCAAAATCGAAAGCTGTCATGCTCAGGAAGTAGAATGCAGCAGCCCTAACCTTGTCTGAAAACAGAGCCTGGGGCTGGCAGCTCTTTCAGCGTCTTATGTTCAAGAAGGCAACCAGAGGTTCTTTAATCTGTTGGGGTTTTCTTTCCCCTTACTATTTTACCTTTGTTTCTTTTGCTATTGATATGACCCACAAGTGCCATACTCTAAACACAATGTTAACCAGTTTACTTCATAGTATTTAAGCAGTGGTATGTAATGCCCATATATCTGCCTTGCATGCCACATTTATCGAATTTCAGCATGTTTTCCAGTCTTTAATACTCAACATTAAGTACCTGGTATAAATAATCTTAGCTCGGGGTGCCACCTTGGATTGCAGATACTATAAAATGGTTAATTATAAAACAGTCTGTTTATGATTCTGAGGTGGTATGATGCATCTTTCACTTTTGACTGATAGGTCCACTACAGCAATGTAAATGATTAGCCACAACTGAGATAAGGATGTCAGTGTGATACCGGGAATTGTATGTATACAACACACAGTAGTGGGAAGAAGCGTGCAGATCCCTGTATCACCCATGTAAATTTTAAAAGAAGCCCCCACCCAAACCTCACTTTTCAAACTTTACAGAACCTCAGAAGTGTTGAGATCAGAAGGGGTCTCAGGAAACTGTCTATTCAGCCACCTCTACTCAGTGTAGGATGAAGCAGAGCAGGTTGCCGAAGGCCGTGTCCTGTCGGGTTTCAAATATTGCCAAGGATGGAGTCACAGTAACCTGTTTGAGCCAGTACTGAAGCACACTTATGGCAAAATAAATAAATGCATAATTAAAAAGCACATTTTTCTATGTTTAAATGTAATTTCCTCTGTTTCAGTTTGTGCTCACTGCCTCTCATCCTTTCATTGCAAAGGGTTTGGCTTCATCTTTGAAGACAGAAAAAGAGTCTTTGAAACCAGAAAAGAATCCAGCTTAATCTTTGCTTATTATGGCAAAATATTAAAGCTCAGTATTTCATTAATGTCTCATATTACTTTCCTGAATCCCTTTCCAAGGACTGTTCTTGTACTGAGAGATGTTTTTCAGACAGGCATGTTTAAGCTATTGTATTTCATTATGAACTACCTAGCAGTGCAGCATAGAGATTATTATTGCTTTAAAGGATTACCTGTAAAAAATATTTGTAGCTTTTAGGAAAAAATGGGATTTGACTATGGTATGATGAGCTTTGGATGCTGTGAAAGCATGCAGTATTATTGACATAGGTGTTATCTTTTGATTTTGTTAGCCAAATGGGAAGAAATCAGCAGATTAATATTCCCGGACCTAGACATTGGTAAATATTTGGTTTAGCCTGCCATAGTATTGACCTTACAAGTTTCATACCCAATTTTTTCCCCTCCCCCCTTTTTTGAGGGTTCTTACAATAAAAAAAAAAAAAAAAAGGTGGTTTAATTACTAAGTCTTTTTATGCTTTAAATAAATTATCAGGAGTCTAAACACTGTATGATCAAATTTAGCTTTAGAATTCAGTCCCCTAATCATTCTAATTGTAGATGTTCTTTAAACCCTGGGAAAGTTAGAAGTACAGAAGCATCATCTTCTACCCATGCTCTTGCCAACATAGTTTCAGACACATCCATGATTCAGTTCTCAATTTATTTGGGTAATAATGAAGACTCTTCTTGCGGCTGCTTCCTGAACAGTTGCATTTTCTTTGTCATGTTCATCTTTCTCAGATGAATCAAGACCAATGAAGCCAACCAAAGGTGATGGACGGAAAAATGTGATAATGATCAGGTGTTCCGTTTCATAGCTGAAGCATCTGAGGTTTTTCTAAAGCAGCTATCCATTTCCAGAAATCAGTGTCTCTTTCAGCTCATGGTTCTGTTTTCCACATCTGCTTCTGCCTGTCTCTTTCACACATTGTATATATTGTCTCCATGTGTATTTTTTAAACTGCTGTGTACATCAGTTGTATAAATCATTATGGGTAAAATTGGTTTGTTATTTGTTACATTGCTAAGTGTCTTACTTCTCAGGAGCACATCTTTGCAGGACTGTTTATTTATGCTTGTGTATGCTTGCAGAATTGAGAGAGAGGTGAATAATATGCAGTAATTGTTACGTGATATAAAATGCGTGAAGGCAAAGAAGAAACTATTAAAAGTAGTTACTTAGACAATAATAAAGAAATCTGGGCATAGCTTGCTATTTTGTTTGTAGGGACAAGATGTCCTTTCACTTCATATATAACATGCCAGGTATGATAAATTTGAGGCTGCTTCTTGGCTTCTCAAAGGATCTTTGTCTCTTTTCCTTTTTTTTTAGTACTTCATCTTTCTCTGTAACCTCCTGGTTGTACAGCAGGAAACCAGATTCATTTATCTTCCTACAGAATCTAGGAATGGGATTTCTGAGATTTTTACTGCCTTTTCTTCATATGAGTTACTCAAGTAACTCAAGAGCTTGATTCTTTAGCTGGCAATATCTTTTGTAGCCAACACAATAAAATCAGCATTGTTCTTGTCAGTGACAAAGCTTCTTAGGAAGCTCTTGTCCCTGAGATCATACTGTTCCTTAGATGGTTTGCTGCATTCTGTAGGTAGACTCCCCCCCCCCCCCCCCCCAAAATACAGCAATATTAGAATCCTGTAACTCAGGATTATTGCATCAGATGACATTTGGAAAATTGTCTTTGTTGGAACAGGGTTTTAGAAATGAATAGTTACATTCACAAGGCTTTGCAGTTGTCTCTATGCTCTGAAGAAGTAATTATTCTTCATTGTATAATATAGTTTTCAATTTCTCTCCTTAAATTCTCATTTTTCAGCATTTATCATTAGCTCACTTTTTGTCATTCCAAGTCTTTTTGGTAGGAAAAACCTAAATGGCTGTCATCCAAACTGCTTTGTACTATTTCAACTGTTAGCCGTCCATGCCAGCCTCATCCTTCCTTTGTAACTTGGTAGTTGACTGGATCATTTTTCTGTTGCTCTTTTTTTCCCCTTTTCTTTGTTAACACTTTCTCATACTAAATGAAACCACATCTTCCCAAAAGATTTGGTTCTTAAAAAAATAAAGTAGTAAAAATGTAAAAGGAGAAAAATCCATATGTTAGAGAGATATGCATCATTAACCCAAATATTTTTGGCCAGAGTTCCAGACCAGTGAGTAATTTCCATGAGTCACTGGTCTAGCACTCTGGTGATGTGACTGGAGGACATGTTGGAGAAACCACAATGAGAGCCAGACTCTGCCTTGTTAAAGCTATTGGAAAATGTTCTCAATGTATTCCCCTGCAAGTGAAATAAAATCCTTCATTTGTTACTCCTCTCCTCAAAAAAAAATAACACTACCCCCTCCCCCCCCCCCCAAAAAAAAAGCAGTTGAGGATGCTATGAGTCTCGCTGCGTGTCTTTCATCATGCACATTTTTATGCTTTAATTGTACACCCCATACTTGAAGTCCATCATGAAGTTTCTATAATCTGAATGTTTCTTGTGACCAGCTGAAGCTCAGTCAGCAGATCTACAGCTTTTTCCTCTGCCATCTTCCTAAGTAGTGTGGCACTTCCTGTTGTCATAAATCATTTGGCAGCCTTCTGCACCCTAGGCTATACCCTTCCTGAAAGCTGAATTTTCCTCAGCTTCCCTGAACTTCTTTTCCATTCATCTTAATCCTTCAACCCTATAAAGCTCTTTGCTTTTGTCTTGGAAGTTGATAATAGTTAGGTTGATAATTTAATGATACATCTTCTTCTGATTTTCTAGTTTTTATGTACTATTTCTTTTCTTTTACATAGATAATGCCACCGTTGGGTCAGGAAGAAACAAAATTGCCTCGCTGTTCTGTCTTTCTGTAGCACTTAACAGAGCACCATTTTGGCCTGTGGTTAGAGCTTCTCTGGAATAGCAGCAAAAATTGTTTTGTTATTCCTAATTAAAGTGTGTGGAAACCAGAATTGAAGCCTAGGAGGTTTTGTGCACTTATGCTAAAAGGTTCAACATAGCACAGTCTGTTACAGAACAGCGAAAGATACTGCAGGAATCTTGCTTAGTTAAATTCCTCTGTCGGTCTTGTGGATAAAAGTGGTTCTTCTTGCAAAACTTGACTTCCTTCTCAGTGAAGCAATAAACTCCATTGTAACTTTGAAAGCATTCATTTCTTGGTCAGAGGTCCCTTGGATAAAGCAATTGGTAGATTGAAAAATCTTCATACTGTGTCTGAGTCATCTCCTCCCTTGAAAAAACCAAACCAGGTAATTCTGTGAGCAGCAGGACTTTTGAAGTTGACTTGCCATATATATGAGTGAATTATCCTGACCAATATTTGAAGATGTCTTACAGCAGTGACACAAATCTGATTCTCTTACAAGGCTGTTAGTTACTAAAAGCTTTGACATCTCTACTCTCTGTCAGATCTATCTCAGATATATCCAGAAATCCATCCCTAAACTATTCTATAATTCTGTGACTTGAAAATACTGAAACAGAGGGAAGAAAAGTATAGGCATCATAACACAAACTGTATGATCTTAGGAGCCCAATTTTCTTAGGAAGCATAGATATAAAATCCTCCAAGCCTGAACTATTTTTATTTCCTGCAGTCTGTAAAAATATGCTTCGCAGCTTTGCATAGATACAGTGTCTCAAGCTTGTGTTATCCCGTATCATGCTGGTATAGTCTGCCTGACCTTTGTTTCTGTGTTTATGCCAATCATTTACTTGTATTCATGGAGTCTAGTAATAAATGACAAAGCTAGCAAAGTTTCAAGTCAAATTAAGACTGTTTTTAAGTTACCATAACTCTTATCACGCTATGAAAACTGAAAATTCCTGTTGGAAAGTAAAGTGTCTTCTGATGGAAATGTCAAATGATGTGAGACTACCAATATATCATCGTTAAATTTTCTACCACAATGGCAATTTCAGAGTAGAAAGAAATGCCCATTAAATGACATGAAACATAAAAGATAAAAGATCGTATCTGTGTGATTTGCAGAAAGCAAATCAAACTGACCACGTCTACTGCTAATATTGATCTAATAATTATATTTTAGTGTTTACTAGACCTCATAATAACCAATCTTTCAGGAAATATCTGCAACCTACACCACATACAAAATTAAATTAAACTAAGATTTTTAAACACCTTTATTGTAATTATCTTGAGTCCTAACCCTTTTCTAGTTTTAATTAAATTCTAATATGCCATTTTTATGAATACCGTACTGTGGGTTCATTTTTATATTAGACTAATTTAAGCTATTTTAGACTAATTGGTCTGAATTTTATTACTGTCTTCTTTCCTTGATGTAGCGTTTAAAAAAAAAAGTCCAGTTTTATTATGTATATAGTAGCTCTTTATATATAGTAATATATATCCATACATGCATAATTTGTATGTTTGCTTCAGAGAAAAGTCAGTTGTTAGGATTTTAAATTGTCATGGTTTTGAATTGTACATACCAATATTGGTTTGTCATCCTTTTATGGGGATGGAGGGCAGGGATTGAGACCTTTGACACCCAGGATATTGCTTTGGATTTATCACCTCTGATAGTAATTTTAAACTAGTATGTCTTTTTCCTTATTTTTTTTCTGGGCTTCTTGCCCACTTAGCATAGAGTGGGAGGAACAGCAGTGGCCTCACACTGCATCATGTGCATTTCATTTGTCCATACCCTTACTCTTTGCAGAAATACTTTTCTCTTGTGACCTACTGCCTTCAAGACTACTGTAAGTCTAGGGCTACACATGGTATCTTCCTGAAGATTTTGACTTCCTGGGCTTCAAGAAGGAAAAAGCCAGGCCCTCATCAATTCACTTAAGTCCACACTCCTGTGTCTTTCACTGGGAAGAACACCAGTTTGTGAAACTTTCTCACCCACCAGCTTTCCCTTTTTACTTCTCATTTCTTCAACTTAGGCAGTTAAACGTTGGAGGATATTGGCATTTCTACAAATAACTTGCTTTGGAAAGATACTGGGTGATTGGAAAAATTAAACCAGCATCTCATGTCTTCTGTAGAGTTAAAATATTATAAAGCCTGAATATATGCTTCTTACTCTTTTGCAGATCCAATCTTGCTTATGGAATTGTTGAAGATCTGAGATCAATGAAAAAGCATCTTTGCATGCAGAAAAGGATCCTTTTTTTTTGTTTGTTTTAAAATCATCAAGCATGGCACTTAATGACTCATCTACAAGATTTCTTCACTGACATCTGAAGAACAAAGTGCTTTTCAACCTGTACTTCTGTAGCACTATGACTAACTGTAAAGGCAGATCTACCATCTCCAAAACAAACCACAAAGTTCATGACAGAGAACGTTTTGTAAACTGGACCATAAACTTTAATACAATTCAATCCGATAAGTTTTTGAAGCTCCTTTTGAGTATGGTTCCTGTTGTTTACCAAGTAAACCAGGATGAAAGACACAAGAAAGTGAATGGTGTCTGGCAAGATGGATTACAACCAGCAGGACACAATTTTAATGTTAGGTCTGAACAACATACAGAATACCATCACTTCTCAGACCCAAGTTTTCATGGTAGCAATGGACACAGCCCATCTAGCTGTAGCCCTAAATATGATGATTTTACCAGTTACAATTACTGTGATGGAATGGGCACTTCAGAAACAGATGCCATGTTGCAGGAAGACAACCTATCTACTGACAGTAATGAAGATATCATTGTGGAAGGAAGTACAAAACAACCCAAAGAATCTAGTAGTATTATGGCATTACAGATACTCGTACCTTTTTTGCTAGCAGGATTTGGAACTGTTTCTGCTGGCATGGTTTTGGATATTGTACAGGTTGGTATATGCTTTGGAGGATTTGTTTTAACAGGTAGTCTGTGATTCTAATACATGATATTGTAGATGTTTACAGTATTGAGGAGTAATTAGGTCTGTGTATGGTTTTGCTGCTATGAACTCCTTTCTCCTAAACCCCATCTTAAAAAGTTCTAGTGTTTGATTTGGAGCCATTCAAGTCTTGGTAAGTATTGTTGCTTAGCCATGGTGAGCTGGTGAATAAAACCATTACCTTCTGCTTGATCTAAGGATAGAAATATGGTAATGGTTCAAAATTCTGTTGACATGAATAAATGTAAGCATAGTGGGAGCTGTAATTAACTGTGATGCTTCAATATATAGGAGTTTAAAAAGCTTGAAGAGTGTATTACAGTATCTCATCTCCTTGAGTGCTTCAGGTCTATGCAATTTCTGTAATACTGTGTAGATTTGTTCCATGATAATGCATATGGTGTACAAAAATGTGCATTACATTTGCATGTTATATGAAATTGGTATTAAGAGATTTACATTTCTTTTAAATATTCAGGTATATATAAGTGACTTCTTTGTATAACGTTAGGTATATTGAAAGCTATTACAAACATCAGTGGTGTGAACAGGGCTGCAAAGTGATGTCCACCTTGAAATACAATTGTAGTAGGTCCAGAGAAGATTATCTTGCTTTGTGGTAGCAGATTTAGCTGATGATTGTTATTCAGGGCTAAGATAAGATAGAAGTTTCTCTCAATTTTAATGAAGTTTAATATTTTTAAAACTTGTTTTGGAGTATGATATCAGTAAGACCCTACTGATATGGAACATTTTTAGGTCTGGTTTCTAGTTTAACACGGCTGTAGATGTCAGCAGCTTTTCAGTGGATTTAAAAGTAACAGTTGGCTATGAAATAATTCTCTGTGCAGTGATGAAGAAAATTCTGGAGACAGTAACATTTAAGAAAGGTTTATTGGACTAGCTTATTTTCTTGCCTTCTCTTAGCCTTTTGAAGGCTCCATTTACTTTTAGTTTTTACCTAACTTTTTAGAAAACTGAAATTTCTTATAAATGCAAACCTCATAGATTCTCTCTTCCTGCATTCACAGAAAATTATTTAAAAATATGAAATAAGCACAATAGTCAAACTGAAAGACAATGGAGAAATTATTCTGTGTTTTTTCTTTTGCTTCATTCAGCTTTAGGGTTTTATTTAGCTATAGTTAAAGAGTTTGCAAAGTTAAAGATGGGTAAGAGGCTACTATCTTTGTCACTCAAAATGTCGAGAGAGCAAGGAAAGCTTGAACTTCAGTCAATTGCAGTGAAATGAACTTTTATACACCAAGAAAAAGGAAAATAAAAATTGACATGCAAACTTTACTGCTTCCTCGCAGTGTTTTACACCAATCATGTGCTTTGTTCATTTGCATATTACCAGTGTATTCTTCTTACAAACGCTTTGTTTGTACTTAGTTAATTAAAGATTTACTGCGTGACACAGCATAATGATCAAGGGAAAGAGGCAGTTGTGCTTCTGCCGCTACTGGCTTCAAACCAAATGTTTCACTTTCTCTGCCTTCCCCTTTCGGGAATGTGTTTGTATAGCTGGTTTTTGAGTTGGGCTGAGATATATCTTCATTTGTCCTGTATTACTTTTAATCTTTATTGGTTTCCGGTCCAGCTCACCGTGAATGAGAAAGATGTAACGCAAAGGCAAGAATAAAGTGTCAGTGCTACCTTTTTTCACTTCAAAAGTAATCATTAAACTGTGATGTCAGTGAAGCAAGATTTTGGAATGTAACATAACATGTTTTGAACATGAAAATTTGAAGACAATAACACATGCTGAGCTTGTTGTTTACAAGCCATTCATGGCAGTTCTTTCCCAGTGGTAAATAGATATGTAACTTCGCATATGGGTAATTTTCAGAGCTTGTTTACATTTGAGAACTGAATTGTTTTATTTTAATTAAAATAATCATAGAATCATAGAATGGTTTGGGTTGGAAAGGACCTTAAGATCATCTAGTTCCAAGCCCTCTGCCGTGGGCGGGGAAATAATAACTTAAATGCTTGCAAATCCCTGAATACAAAGACAGTTTACAGTTTTGTTTAGCTGAAGTTGGTAATTGATTGCAAATTAAATACATGAAGATTTTTAATATTTTGCAGATAGTCTAATTTTTCGATTTAATGTTTCCCACTGTTTCCTTTATACAGCATTGGGATGTGTTCAAGAATGTTACTGAAGTTTTTATCTTGGTTCCTGCACTTCTTGGTCTCAAAGGAAATTTGGAAATGACCTTGGCATCCCGACTGTCAACGGCTGTAAGTAACTTTCTCTTCCTCTTCGCTCTTCAGATATATGTTGTAAATATTTTGAAAGGAAAACAAACACATTTATAACACATAAACATTTTATGTTTATGGCTTAATCTGGCTGTTGGGAGGGCTCTTTAAATCTGTTATTAAATTGGCGAAGTTAAAAAGTTGACCCTCTTCTTTTTCCACACGTCAAAATTTTACTTCTTCAAGTCTCCTCTGAGTCATCATTCAGAACAGATAAAGTAGCTTTTTCACATTTACATGTGTGTTCTGAAAGGCTGATAGATCTCTTTGGCCTTGAGGGGCTTTGAATAGGCTAAGAAAATGTGGATATTTTAAACGTTTTTCTAAAGACAACTTGTGTGGCATCAAAATAAAGCATTGCTAACATTGCTATTCCAGACATTTGTTGGTCAAACTGTAAGAAACTCTCACGTAGCTTTCTGTTTAAATAGTTTTACTCCTTTTTTTGTTGTGATGATTTTTTGAGGGGGGTCTGCTTATTTTTTGTGTGTCAACACTGTCACATAGCATAACTGTTTTGTTTTTTTTAATGTCTTATGAGTTTGTCTTGGTTCTTCTCTATGTCTCAGGGGATGTTCCATCCCTTAATTTTTCTAGCCCAAGCAAGCCAGATTACCTTAGCATGTATCTTTTGAGTTTGTGTGAATGTTCTAATAACATGGCTAAACCATTTCTGGTACTGGAACTGTGTATCTCTGGAAGACAATGCCTAATGCAGTGTTTCTCCTTTATAAGATATTTTTTCCATACTTTAGCAAGGCCCCCACTCTCTTCCTGTTCCTGCCTGATTCAATTTTTCTAGAAAATGTTTGGTTAAAGGTGTATATATAACTCCAGATGACACCTTACTATGGTTTTGTAGAATAGTACATCCCTATTTCTCTCAAAAGCTGCTCTAGAAACTTTGTAGGTTTGTATGTACTTACTTGCTTATCCGTGTCAGATATAGACCTCACACTCAATTTGTCATTAATGTCTGTGTCCTAGTATTTCTCCTTTTTGTGTTATTTCCAGCTGTTAATGCCATCTTCTGCAAGAAATAGTATTAGTCCATAAGTGCATGACCTTGTATTTCTACTGTTGGATTTCATCTGTTTTCACTGCTGCAATCCTCAAGGACATTTAGGTTTTGTACAGTATTACAATGCTTCGTATTGACAAGGTCTCTCAGTTTTCTGTCATTAATAAATGTCATTGTCACATTATATTGAGTTATTGTCCAAATGCACACTGTGATGGACCTAGCCTTAGAAGTCCTATGAAGGTTTGCTTGTGTCATGCCCATTATAGAAATTGATTATTTTTGTCCCATATCCGTTCCTTCGTACATAAGAATTGACATGTTCTGTTGTATCTTTATCAATGGCAGCCTTAGCTCTTCAATCTTGTTTTCTGTTTGATACTCTTCTGAGTATTCTTACAGTTTCTTAAGAGTATTTTGTGTTTAAACCTTACTGCCTTTACTGTCAGGCAGATACTTTTACCTTACTTTTTTTTGCTGTTGACCTGTTGTTTAATTTGTTCATGTCTGGTACAGTCTGTGGCCTGAGGATTGAAAGTGCTTGTGTTGCATAGTGAAAAATCCACCAAGTCCAAGATCTACCTTACTGAAGGCTTAAAAAAAGAGGGTCAGAATCAGTTCCACCACTTCTGCTTCAGTTAATGGGATCTTTAATTCTTTGTCTCAGTTGAGCTTATGACCTTTGCCAGATCATGACTCCAGAGCTGCTTCTCTGGGCCAGTCAGTGGCTGCTTTCCCCATCCTCACCAATACCATCTCATTTGTGAACCTCACAGCATTAAGGAAACATTTTGAAAAGGGTCATGCAGATGTTTTTTCTGCTCTGGGAATCCCGACTTTAGTTCTTATTACCCATCAACTGTTAGTTATCAGTCTCCCTCTCACAGACACAGATAAAGGATACTGGAGTTTCCACAACACTGGCTGCATGTTCAGTGGTTGACTAAAGGTGGCATTGTGAGGTTCTGGCCACTCCCCTCAGGCCAAAATCATATTCTTAAGAGTATCCCAGTAACTGTGTGATAACATGATCTGCAGACATCTTGAAGCCAAAACTCCTACCAAGACTCTGTTCTGGGAGGGCTTAGTCTGAGGAGTGTTACTTGTGCTGTTTACCACTGTCATTATGTCTCACCAAGACATAAATCTATGAATGCTTGAGGTTTTTACTCAAGCGTGCCATGAAGGCTTCCTTTCACCCATGTGCCAGAAACTGTTGTAAATCTGTCTTGGCCAAATCAGGTTAGCCAGCCCTGTTCATATCTTTTCACTGTAAAGGTTAATTAACCGGCTAAGAACAGGTCAGTGAAGTGTACATTTCTTCTCTGTGGCATGTGGGAGTTCCAGTTTCTTTCATTGCCCAAAGTCACAGTCACGGCACCACTGGCACCAAGCTACTTCCCAGCTTTGCATCAACAAATGTGTGGGGTTTTCTTTGTTTTTGTTGTTTGCTCTCTAATGCCTGTAATTTCCCTGTATGACCTGTTTTCTTCAAGAATTGTGGCAGACCCTAGGCTAAGTTACAAAGGTGGTTGAAATACTTTCTGGGACTTAGTCATATTGTAAGTTCATTGGAAGTCCTTCGCAGGGAGGAGGGAGAGGCTTGTCGCGGTCCAGTGGATGTTCTCTCTTTTGCCAGTGTTGGCTCTAATTTGTTCTAGTTGGTAAAGAGCTCATCAGGAAATGTTATAGAGCATGTGTATGTACATGTGCACAGCACAATGGAGATTTAGGAGAACAATACTGTACAAAATAAGAACAGTATAGATCAGTCATTATCAGCATAATACTAAGAAGATAATATTTAGGTTTTATACATAAAAAAAACCAAACCCAAAGCAATAAAAAAAAAGGTTTTATCTTGCAAAGAACCTTCCAGTTTTCTCTTACGTGTCTTTTTTGCACTCAACACCAGCTGCTATGTGCACAGGTCTGTGAGCTGCATAGCCAGCCACCTCCCCTTTAGTGCTACTGCAAAGGCAAACAAAGACACTAGACCTCTGTAAAGTTTCTAATCAGTAGTTAAAAAACAAACAAACAAACTAAAATCCTGTGGAAAACCTACTACATGTTACATGCAGCTTCTTACAGGTGATAGCTTGGGGTTAATTGCCAGATGTGAATTTGAACTCCAGGTCAGTTGCATTGATTGCTCTGCTTCCCCCAGGTTTTCCAAAGAGATGCTGTGTTATGCTGCTAACTGGAGAGTTTAATCAAAAAACTTACCACTAGACCTGCAATTTTTATGTCAGTTCTCCCATACCTTTATGAAATAGGTTATTCTGACCTTTGCATTCTTTGCATTGATTTCATTGACCCTTACTCAATTTAGCCATCCAATCTTTGGTCCTGTCATCCTCATACCAGGTGAAAACAGAAAGGAGTGTAAATTCAGAACATATCTAAACAACAATTTGGAGGCAAGTATATGATTAATGTTCCCTTCTCTGACCTAAATTTGCACTAAGTGGCTTCCCACCAGATACTGTCTTTACAGTAAATTCAAGACTGTGCCCCTGTGAATAGTTTTACCTTTTGAGGAGGAAATTTCTAACATGAGTTCAGCATTGGAGCTAATTCTTACCCTTTTTACCCAGTTAGCTTACAGTTGCATCTGAATTTGTAGACACATCTATACTCTTGGGGCTGTAAGCTAATTATCTTTACTTCATTGTAATTATGTAGTCAGCCAAAAAGTAAAGCCTTGTTAGCAAGTTTCTGTTACCCATAATGCATCTGGTTTCAAGCGTTGTCTGATTACCTTCATTCATCTGCTGCCCAGATTCCTGCTTGTATCTGCCTCTTACTGGTCACAACTATTAGTCCGTAAGTGCATGACACTGCATTTCTACTGTTGAATTTCCCATCCACTTTAGAATGAGTTTCATTGAGGGGGAGTGGATTAGATGACTTTTAAAGGTCCACTCCAACCCAAACTTTTCTATGATTTTGCTAAATCTGTCTCAAGAATGTGTTTTTAATCTACCTCAGAGCATAGCTCATACTTCTCTATGGTGTTAGTGTTAATGTAAACCCTTCTCTCTCTGGCCACTGCTGTGCTGGCATCACTGTGTGAGGTGTACTTAGGTCAACTGCCCATTCAAGCATGGTATTTATGTTGTGTCTTCTATTTTTCAGCTGTATTCTGTAGTTTGGGTCACTCTTATTGTCTCAGTTCACACTGTTTCTTTTCTTCCTATTTGTTTCTGGTGTTTTATGAGGAAGTAAAAAGTGAAAACCCAACACCAAGACACCAGTCATCCAGTCATTCCTATAAAACTTGCAGACTCTTGTTTTGACTGTGTATTATCAGGATTAGTCATTAGCAATATGACTTTAGATACTTTTGTTCAGGTCCACTTATTCCACAGTATCATAATAAACTTGATCTTACTTTATGGAAATGTGCAGCTGAAATGAGTGGTCCTGTTCCTTTTCTACCTTCCAGACCCTAAGAACGTTTGCACATGGTTGCATGTGATGGATCAGATAATTTTGTAGATAATCCCTTTTTGCTCCCTGACAAAAAAGCGTTTTCTGTCATACCAGCAAGCAAATTTATTTTGTCATGAACTCACTCATAGAGTCGGTAGGTCTGGCTCAAGAAGGAAAACGTCATCATGTAGCTGATACTAGGGGGAAGAAGAACTGTGGCACTGCACAGCAGCTCACTTTAGGCTGGATTAAACATGTTGCAAGATTACTGTTTTAATAGGGATTTTTTTGATGCTTTTCCAAAACTTCTTCAAAGGAGAAAGAGAGTGAAGCTCTCTCTCCATGGCCTGCTACTTTGTCCATTTAGCATATATATTCAAGGACAAAAAGCAGATTTTTCCCTGCACTTCCTGAAATACTGCTGTAAAATTTAAACTTAATGCGTGTGTTTGCAGAGCTTTGACTGTACTTTGAATACTGTAAAGTATTTGTAGTGCAGATTGAGGTGTCTTATTATATATCTAAGTTTTGACGTTAGCATTTCTTTTAACGCTTTGTTCCTTGCAAGTCACTAATATCACAAAATGGAAAAAAATGGAAAAAAAAAGGAAGTAAACCTCCTGGAAAGAAATCAAAAGATGAAAAATATAGGCATTAAGACTTCCTGAATTTTGAGAAGTACACTATATTATAAATTAGTATTCTATGGAAAAAAACACAAAAATTTATGCTCAACACATAAGAAATCATTCAGTTATCTCAAAAAGGAAGTTATTTTTAAGCATAGTCACACTGCAGTGGTATGTACTGTTCTTCAGATCTTGTCCTCTGACTCAAAAAAAAAAAGTAAAAGAGGAAATACATGATAAAAAACTGTGTATATATTTTGTCATTTCTTAGGATAATTTATTTGCTGTTTTTCCAGTTACTGCCTTAGGTTTGGACTTACAGCATCATAAGTCTCTAGCTGTTCTGTATGATACAAAAAAGTATTAGGTATGGTTTCTGATCTTCTGTAAGCACTTGCAGTTTATGCAGATGGTTTCATTGCAATCAACACATTTGCATGAGAGCATGTGTGTCCACACACACATGTATCTATGCTTTTTACTACTGGCTCATAGAATTTAAGGACCACAGAAACAAGTTCAGTCTAAAGTGACTGCGCACTGGTAAATTTCCTTTCCAGCCACTGATTTAATCACTGGTCGTGCTTGGACATTCCTGGACTGTAAGGTGTCTAGAATATCTTGCACAGTAAGGCAAATGTTAAACGAGTTACTGTGTAAAACTGCATCAAGTTTAGCTACTTTTGGATAGTTACTGTAAGTACAATTTAAAATCAACAGCAATACTTGACTTGAAAAAAGTACAGCTTGGCTTTAACTTGTCTGTCATCTGTTTGTCTGAGTGGAATTATTTATGGATTTCCGCCTCCTTAGTGCATTTTCAAGTAATACAATTTTAAACCCAAGTGTCTGAAATTCCTTTGTAATTTTGCCAGGTAAATATTGGAAAAATGGATTCTCCCATTGAGAAATGGAACCTAATAATTGGCAATTTGGCCTTAAAACAGGTAAATATAGTGGATTTATTTGATTAACTCTTAGACTTTTTCAGTAACTTTTTGCACTTACATCGCAAATGCCCTTAACTATGGAGATGGACCGTGTCAGTGGGAAACTAGCTCCACTGTACTGACTCATACTTACTGTACAATGTTTGCATGACCATTTTATTGAACAGTGTAGTTCTGTAAAACAATATGAGCTTATATTCATCAGAAGAGATAAAAGTATTCTGTGTGACTGAACCAAGGATATTTCCTTTCTAATTTTTCTGAGAGAGAATATGAAGACGATTAGATAAAAATTTCAGATTTGGCAAAACCTTTTAAATTTGACCTCTCAGATGTTTTCTGTACTGTATTTGTGTTGGATTCAATGTTTAAAGGAAGTATGTGACAGAATTTTTGCATAATAAACGATATTTTAAATAGCTGGGTCATTTGAGGAAACGAGTGCTTGTTCTCCCAAACTGTTTCTCAAGATTAAGAACTATATTATGTTCATATGTTATAGTACAGCATGCTTAAAAACTAGGTGACATGTTTATACTCTAACTTCACTGTTTTAAGTGGCTTAGGAGCCTCTTCAGGCACTGGCTTCTGGTAAATCCTCAGCTCTTTTCTTTGATTTTACTTTTGTTATTTTTGAGTCTCTGAGATGCTGGCGAAGCCTCTTCTGCTAGCATAATATTTTTCTTCTTGATCATCCAAGGTTATAATCATCTCTGCAAAATGGATGAGCATGTTCCCTTTGCCCCTTGGAAAGAAAGACAAAGAGGAGGAAAAAATAACAGAAAATGGTTCTGTACTCTTCTTAAGTCTATCAGTTATTTTAAGAAACGTTCACTTTTTTCTTTTTCAGGTTCAGGCAACAGTAGTTGGTTTTCTGGCAGCAGTGGCAGCGGTTATATTAGGCTGGATTCCAGAGGGCAAATACCGCTTTGATCATTCTGTCCTTCTGTGTTCTAGCAGTGTAGCAACTGCTTTCATAGCTTCTCTTTTACAAGGTAAAAGGAGTATATATGTTACTTTTTTACACTTGTTTAGTTCTTTTGATGCTGAATGTATATTACTTTGCTATTCCTTAGAAGCTCAAATCCAGTAAGGTATAATGAAACAGCTGAGAAATAGGATGCCCTTTCTGCAATTTCCATATAGGTCTGCATATTGTATTCTTTCCTTTAAAACGGTTTTGATTTGCATGACCTCCTGAGCATATCTAAACCAAAAAGTAGGGGGTTTAGCTTTTATCTAATGCGAGGAGGAACTTCTCCCTGCTTTCTGTATTCATTAATGTACAAAATATATTCTTAGTACTGAAGAGGTAGAACTTAGTTGTAATAAAACTCAAGTAAATCTGCATTTTAGGTCAGCTGATTCCAAAGTTCCTGAGTGCCCACGGTGCTTTTATGTGAGTTTGTGCTCTGTTTTGTATCTGAAGTGAACAAATTGGCTTGTTATGGTGAAGGGTTTGGGCCAAGTTCAATTCCCCTTCTACAAACAGTGCAAATGTCTGTCTGGAGCCATATGGTGTGATGAATTTAATCTTTTCTTCCCAATTGTCAGGAAACATTTAACCATAAAAAATGTTACTTAATGGACTCTACTTGTGACATATTCCTAATGAAAATACATAGTCACTAGTCTTAGTAGTAGTAAATCAAGTAAAACATTTAACTTCCTTGTTTTACTAATTCGATTACTTATGTGAAAATTACAGAATTGCTAAAGTTTTGCATGGAATTAAGAACACACTTTTTTAAATGACTACAACGCCATAGAGTTTGATCATGCACAGAATTAAGAGCAGCAGAAGGACTGGGGAACATGGGTGCATTTTTCCATTTCTCGTGTATGATTTGGACATGAAGAGAAACTTTTGTTGTTATCTGGTGATGGGCCATCACAGGAAATGACTTTCTAAGCTTCATCCTCCTACATGTGAAACCGGTGCTTTTGAAATATCATGATCCTCCAGGATTATTTCAGTTCTTTATTTTGAGAATTTCATGGAGCGTAACTCTTCATGCAGTTTCACTAAAAGTGAACTGGTGTAGCCCACAATGCATAATAGTGCAAAAATACATGAAAATTATAATATCAAAAATTATTTAAAATAACATAAAGATAGTATACGTAGTTGAAGCTCTTATGTATATTATATGGTAAGAAGGCAATTACTCTGTTAATGCCAAAGAAGGCTTTTAATAACAATGTCATTTTAATTTAGTAGGCATTTGAATTCTGCAGGGAAATTCCTCTTAAAAAGGTAGTGTTGCTGTTTATAGGAAGAAAATAGAAACCAACATCTCTAATTTAATTGCTTTTAACTGCGTAGCAAGTAACATTTTTAAATGTTGTCTTGGTTTTAATTCATGATGTAGCTTCTTGACATTTGGTGCTGAGTCCATGACTGAAAATCTTGCACCATATCAGATGTCAAAGTATTTAATCTTATGTTGTTTTCAGCTTAATGTAATTTAAATTTCATTCAGCAAAAGCTAATAGAGTGTAGAAATAACACACTGCATATTTTATACTTCAGAAAATGGCTGATACACAATTTCTATAGTGTTAATTCCAATCATAAGCAAAACAGTTCATTGTGCAGATGGTTCTTGATTTTTTTGTGTGTGTGCTTACTGTATTTTTAAACCTCATTTTTTAGAGCAGCTAAAACTAAAAAATACAGACATTAGTTAGATAAGATTAGTCATCCTGGGGCAAAAGCACTGACTTCTTATTTATTAAGTTTGAAATTGGCATCATCTTGGAATTTTCTGCAGTTAAAACAATAGATATGGTTACTGCACTGTCTTCTTTGTTGACTCTAGGAATAATAATGGTTGGAGTTATTGTTGGATCAAAGAAGACTGGTATTAATCCTGACAATGTTGCCACTCCTATAGCAGCAAGTTTTGGAGATCTTATCACTCTTGCTATACTAGCATGGATAAGTCAGGGTCTTTATAGTTGCCTTGGTAAGTATGTTTCTAAGTGTGTATGCTTCCCTAGGAGCCTCTTTTGGGTTGGGGGGGTGGGGAGGAGGCAGGGAGGCAGAGGTTCAGAAAACCTTGTAGTTTAACTGACTTTTTTTGTCAACTTTTATATGGTTGAATGATAAATCTTGGGTTGCAACATTATGCCATCATCATTTTTCTTTGTTTCTTTCTTTTTTTAATTTATAGATGTCACTAACCACAATCTTGGCACAATCTACTAATACCTGAAAGGCTCTCATGGTATCACAGTATACATGTGAACTAGAAATTGTAGTTGCTGAATTTACTCTACTTCCTTGAGGGGGAGGGAAGCTATCTTCACCCAAGTTTTCCTGAATGCCCACCTCTAAATCAAATATTTGCTTTCCAGACTCCTTTTGAATTGTTCTCCCCTTGCACAGAGGGGAAGGACTTGAATTTGCCCTCTTGATAAGCTGCTGGGAGAGGAGTTCTGCTTTGAGAAAATTGTCTTTGTTAAGGTGGTGTTTTAGACACCGTTGAATGCCTCTTAAGCTACAGCTGTGCTCAGAAATCAGAGTGAAAATTATGTAATCTGAGTGACAATAGCAGGTCAAGAGCAAGGATGTCTTCAAAGAAGTGAAGCCTAATTTTAGATAGATTTGTACTTTGTGATTGCTAGGACATTTAAATGAGGTAAAGACTGTATGAATTTCCTTCTGATTCCTTCCAAGTGCTTTCCAGCTCCCATTGATGAGGCAACTGTCTTGCTTCCTCATCACCCCTACTCCAGCTTCCAATACCAATTTCCTCAGTTCTTTATCTCCTGTTTCCCTCACAGTGTGATGCTTCCATGTCTCTGGCCTTTTCCCTGCACCTGTGCTTGATTTTACCAGAGTTTCCTTCTGCTTTTCAGCAAATGAAATAACCACATCCAGCTTTTTCAAATAAATGGCCCCACTGTCTTCTGCTTTCTTTGTTTGGTTTTGTGTTACAAATTTGGTGTCTATATTTCCACCATAAATCTGCTCATTTAGCTGTAGCTTTCTTTAGCACAGCACGTCTGCCGTGAAAGGTGAAAAAGCATGTAACCGCACAGAATAGCTAAGCAGCAAGGAGAGGCCTTTGTTGACTACTGACTACAGAGGGCAGTGATTTAGTCCTACGTCATCTATGAATTCTGTCTGGCTTCTTAATGACAATGTTTTGCTGTTTACTTACTTTCCCATTAATAGCTATGAACAGGTGAATTACACATAAGCAGCTCTAAACTAATTTTCTTATGAATGACTTTTTATTTTCAGCCTGCAGTTCTTCTCTTCCACTAGTTATTTGCATGTTTCTATAATCCCTTTGAAACTGTTTTTCTGATTCCTAGGACGTGTATTGTCTAAATCCTCCTCTCCTAAAGGGGCAGATCACTAATGAAAAGTTCATCATCACAATGTCCACTAAAAATGAATATGCCTATAGTTATTATTATCTGAAGCATGTTCAGTTAGTAACTGATGTGGTGAAATGCTTGATTGTCACAAAGGAGATGTGAGCTTGGAAAATGAGAATGAGGAACTAAAAAATCAGTCTTCTTCTTCCTGATTCTTCATCTCCTTCATGAAGAAACAGTGTGAAAACATTTCCTCACAGAGGAAGAATGTTCATCTCCTCAGTAAACAATAGTTTATTGTTAAATAAATAATATGTAAAATTAAATTATTGCTGCAACTGACTCCTTCCACAGAAACTGTTTAAAGTATATTGTGTTTTAACTATAGGATACCACAGGCCAAATCTTGTGTTGGCCATAGTTGTTTTTCCAGGCATGTTGGTATCACCGCATACATTCTTTACAGCTGTGCTCATTGTTCAAGCCTTTTTATGTACAAATTTGAACTGTTCTGTGTAAGTATTACAACATCAGTCAGAAAAGGTATCTAGTGAGACTCAAGCTACCTTAGTATGATTTGCCATTTTGTTTCCTGGTTTTCAGCTGATGATACTATGTTTTCAGTATTTGGTTTTTTATGCTTAGAAAGTGTTGACATGATATCAGCTTAAATATATGAGTGTGCAATACAGCCATTTTTTGTTAAAATTTTAATTGTATTGTGTGTTTCATAACTATATTTAAATACTTTATATTCTATTTTAATATGAGTTATTTATCCAATACTTCTTTTGAATACTGCTTTTAGGGAAGTTTATAGATTTACATTGACAACAAAATCGATAAAGATTTTTTTGACCACTCTTCTTTCTTTTGTCCTGATATGAAAAAAGAGAGGAAGCTTGTGTTCTCATTTAATCTGGTGTCTCCAGCTAATGCTAGGGCTGGAATAATAATTAGTTTAGCTTATTAGAGCCTGTTTATCCAGATTTACTGCTATGCCCCGAAATCTTTTTAGACTGGAACATTGGGTCATTCTGCCTAAAATAGATTTTGGGTTGTAACAATTCATATGTTTGATTGGAATCCAGGTAAAAATTAGAGTTTATGGTAGTCCATTACATCAGGGAAGTTGGTATACCAGCTAGATGGAAAGCAGTTAGCTAGGAGAGAGGTAGCTAGGAATACTGGCAGATACCAGGTACCTGGGTAGGTGTGGAGTTGGAAGAGGTTGCCAAATTTGTGTTAACACTGAGATTAGATTTGGAGTGAGAGTTATGATTCGTTTTTTTTCCAGTCAAGACCATATTTGATTTAAAATAATCAGTGCTAGACTTCAGGCTTCAAGTGTTAACTGTAACTATTTCAAATTAAGTTTCTTAGAAACTTATGCCCTATAGGTCAAACTTCATTTTGGGGTTGAAAATTTTGCTTTGTAAACTACATTGTAATGAATATGCCAGTGATTTTTTCATTTGCTTCCTGAATCTTTCCCCTGCAAATATTAGTTTCTTACATTTCTTATGCATTGTAGTGTTCTCTGCGTAATTGCTTAAGTTGAATCCATCTGACTCAATGACAGTAAATCATTGAGTCTTACTTTCCATTTTTTTAAAATTGTGGCCATAGGCAAAACTTAGTTACGTGTGCTGGTATTATAATAGCAGGTGAGTTTTAATAGTACCTACATTTGTCACTTGTAAATAATCAACATATATTATTTTGTGACTATATCTGGTACTGCTTCCTTGCTTTATCTAAATGATAGATAAAAACATTTCTCTTTTTTTGAGGAGTAACTAATTATTACTAATATTTCCATTTCTCCTAAAATATGTTTGAGGGTTTTTTTAATCTAAGAAACCAACCAAACAAACGAAACCCACTCAATTTCAAAAAGAAGATGGGGAAAGAAACTTGGACTTCTTTTCACACATTCCCAGAAATTTACACCTGTAGTTGCAGATGGCCTTAATGTGTCTCAAAGGAATGGAGAAAGAAGTGGGGCCAGTTTGAGCTGATCCTTTGCTACTTTTACAACTGTTGTGGCCATTCACATTTTAGTCAGCCACTGCAGCTGAAAAGTAGTTTCTACACGTGTAGGGGGAAGGAAGAGTACTCTCAAGTCTGTTTCTAAAAGTTACTCCCAATTTTATTTCACTGTGGTCTTCTGGAAATACTTTTCTTTTGGTGATACATATAATTTTCTAGTTACTGCTAAAATAGCTGCTTCTGCTCTTTGTATTTTTCAGTGTCTTTGTATTTCTTTCTCTTAGGAAGCAGTCTTTCTAAAATAAGAACATACTGCAAAGACCTTGGAAATGTGTGGTTTCTAAGATGTGTGTATTTGAACTATGAGATAGTAACAGGTAATAAACATAGGGAGCAGCTTCAGCTCAGGAGAGGTATATAAAGTGAGTGGCAGGGAAGTGGCATTCAGAAAATGACTAAACAGCAGACTAAAAAAAGTAAAAGAGAAACTCCTTTATAGACTATGTTAGGATGTGAAACTTACTGCCATGATGTAATCAGAGGGCTGAAGTGATTTTAGAAAACTGTTTGGATAAATTAATCAGAGAAGAAATCATTGAGGACTACTGAATGCACAGATGCAGACAGAAACTTGACTGATAAAATCTGTGAGGCAAACAGCAGCAGAAGCTGGCAGAGCACACTCTAAACTTGTAATTTTCTTCTTTCCACAAGCCTGAATGGTTGACCATAGTGAGATACAAGATGCTGGACTAGACAAGACCTTTGGCCTCACCCAACACAGATGTTCATATGTTCTTTTTGTCATTAACCTGCATTCTCAGTGCTAGAATAACAAGCACAATGTCAATGTTATTAAAAAGAAATCTAGTTTATGGGCTAGTAATGAAGCAGGTGGGACTCACTTCTGAACTGCATTCTGAACTATTTTTCCCCTATGATTTATTAGCCTAATAAATATACTGAGACAAAAATGCAAGTTTCAGGCTTCTCTCTATATGGGAAGAATTACTTTCAGATAACAAGACTGGAATGGGGAAAATGATTTATGTACAAGCTTTATGCTTCTCTGTAACAAAGCTGTACGTACACTTGTGCTCAGCCTTTAGTTTGATAGGATGCTTCATGGCATTCCCAGAAGAGGCAGGGAAAAAGGACTGAGGGTGTCATTTTTACCTAGTCCAGGGCCAAATGAAACATCTTGTTTGGCCATTATTTTATATATTTATATATATATATATATATATAATGGATATAATGGATATATAAATATATCTATATAATTTCTTCAAAGTTTATCTGAGTCCTTTAAAAATAATGGCAAAGCTATCAAACACGGGGATTTAAATAGCAAAAGGTTAGCAATTCTGTCTTAACTGCCCAAAAGGAACGGCATCTGCTAATCGTTGTTAAATAGCGAGGGAAAGCACTAGAGGGCTCCCTTGGACCATCACCGAGCCCGGTTCCTGTTCCTCGGACAGAACACAGGGAATGCTTTGGAATAGGGAAACCAGTACATTAAGTATGAAGGTCCGTGATGCTTGTCATTTGTCAGTAATGATCTGAGGATTTCATTTAAAGCTTTCCTCTTTTCTTACAGAATGTGGGTTAAATATACGCATGTATCTCTTGTGCATGTTGCATCCAGGTTGAGAAGACAAATTGTGATTCATATTATTATGTGATGTGTGAATCACATTAGTATTTTCAGGTTCCTACAAGTTGCCTTGAAGTAGTTTATTTACAGTTACCTCTAATTCCTACTAGAGGTTGCATTGTTCTCAGTGGTCCTGCACTGAACAGTATGTCACAGTAGATACCCTGCACAAGGAAAAAAGCATTAAGCATCTGAGTTCCCTGAACTAGATTAATTTATATCACTTTATTAGAGGAATAAGGGCTTAAAGTAAATGAAGATCAGTAGGGACTCAGTTGAGAGCCTTGTGTCTTTTATCTTCCCTTCTTCTTTTTTTAACTTAGGGTTACAGTCAGAAGTTCATTGAAGAGCCGAGTGCTTTTAGGAGTTGATTTTTCACTGTGGGATGATACAAATTCTATAGCAGAGCCAAGTTGAGCAAGATTCCTTTCACCGTGTAAGCTACCTGCTATAAATCTATCAAAACTGAAGAGAGCCCTAAAAGAGGAATCTTCTATTCCCTCCCTCTTCCTGTTCTGTTGCAGATGACATTTTCTTCTGTGAAAAAGATGGCCCACTCTTCCTTAAAAGATGCAAATAAGGCTAACATCTTTTTAGATTCTTATAGCAAGGTGTGATACAAGTAGTCTTCCAGAGCTAAAAAATAAAGTCCCATGCTCTGTTCCCAAGAATTAGTCTGGGTATGAGTAGTTTCACTAGTCCTGTAGGTAACTGGAGTCTGTCATTGCTCACTTGTGACAGATTCTGTAATGTAATTCTAACCTATTAATTGCTTCTATAGTTCTGTTTTTACTTCAACTTAATAGGCAGGGAGTACAATTTAGCGTTTGGATAGAGAGCAACTGCCTTGCCTAATTTTTATATAATGTTTGTCTTCAAAAGCCTGGTCAGGTCAGGGAGAATTTCAGTGGTCTGATCTGGAACTTGTAAATAGATTAAATATATATACCTGATTTCCTCCTTGTTTAGTGGCATGGGGTGGTTGCTGACCTCTTTATTTATTATTCCCTCTAGCGCTTTAGAACAAGGAATCCCAATAAAGTCCTAGTATGTTATCCTAGCAGAAGGGTTTTTTAAAGAAAAAGAATCTAAGCTCTGTGTCCTGTCCTTGGAGGTCCCCCACTCCTGAGAGTGACTTCTGGCTTTTGTGCTTTTCAAGAAGAAACTTATGGCAGTATTGCAACAATGGGGTAGCTTTTATAATCCGTTTGATGTCCATCTCTATTTAAAGAACTTGGGTGTAAAACCTATTCTGTAAGTTTTCTCTGTACTTACCTCCACGGTGAAATTAAGACATTTATACACACTGAAATGCTAAACAGTAAGGCCAAAAAATTTAACTTCTCTCACTTGCTGTTGACTCAGAGGAACTAAGCTAAGCCATTTGTGGAGTAGTCTTGAAAGTCCTACCTGAGTGTGTAGAAAAGATCACTGGTTGCAGTTTGTTTCCTGTCATTGTCTTTTATGTCACTATGTACCTTGGTTTTATTGCCATAAAACACATATTAACCTTCTTGAAAGTTCCTCTGGCTTTTGCTTTGTTTGCTGCAAAAATTACAGCTTCTGTCATTTTATGGATGGATATTTCCTTTTTTTCCTGTAGGTGCTGTTAACTAACTTAAAATATGTTGAACTCAGCTAGTGAAAGATTGGATAATCAGCCATTGGTTAGTCATATTTTCCAAGATTTGTAAAGCTGCCCTTGCTTCTGGCTACTCACTGAGTTCTGAAATGGAACTGTTGCACTGCAGATATAACTAAAATAAACATAATTTATAATTCATGAATCATTATACACTAGCAAGGCTGTCTTCTCATATTTTCTTTTCCTTTTTTTTAAACTTCTAATAGAACGTTTCTGTGGCAGGATGACATGTGTATGTATATTTTATATTTTAAATAGTTATTATTTATTTAGAAGTTACCCGTTAAATAATTCTTGGTTAGCGTTCATTGTTCATTTGCTGGACTGATTTCAGTTTTATCTATACGCACTTTTCTTTTTTCCAGAGAAGAAAGGAATTATATAGTTATTTCTTTGCAATTCTTGGACTAAATTCTTGGACTAGCTCTCCAAGCTTGGAGACTGTGCATAGTCTCCTTTTTTTCATGAACGCATTCTAGCAAGTTCTTTAGTTGTTAGTGGGATTAAAAAAGGAATTATTGTAAAAGGCATAGGTTTTTTAGCTTTATTTTCCTTTCCTGTGTTGGGAGACGTCTTGTAATAAAGAGTACAGTGGGCTAATTGTGGATTGGCTATAAGGAGGAAATTCTTTCCTGTTAGGGTGGTGAGGCACTGGAATGGGTTGCCCAGGGAGGTTGTGAATGCTCCATCCCTGGCAGTGTCCAAGACCAGGTTGGATGAGGCCTTGGGTGACATGGTTTAGTGTGAGGTGTCCCTGCCCATGGCAGGGGGGTTGGAACTAGATGATCTGAAGGTCCTTTCAAACCCTAAGTATTCTATGATTCTATGATTCTATGAACAAGTGAAACAATATCAAAACTTAATGATTAATTTGCGTAGTGCTCATTGCATCTGTGTTTTGCTGTTCAGTGTTTGCAACAGAGGATCTTTGCTGACCAGCACACTTTACCTTTTAATAAAATTGGCAACCTCTCCAAAAATACGGTGAAGTCTTGGAACTGATTTTGTGCCCTTTTGTATTTTACTGCATATGCTACATTAGAGCTATCCTCTCATTCTTCTCCCTGGCCTTTAAATCAGTTATTGGGCATCTGGTATGGGCTTATGTGGGCTCATGCCCCACCTTGGTTCCACATGAGAGGAACAGACAGGGAAAAAGTAGCAGGGGTACGGTATGGTTTATGTCTTGGGGGGGGGAACGAAAAGAGAGGGGAGAAAAAAGAAAGAAGTTTCAAAATTTTAAATAAATGGATGGTTACATCTTTCCATGTGAACAATTTTAGTGCACACAGGGTTCTATCTTCATTGCAGGCGGGGGGAAGGAAGCTTTTACCTAGGCAATAAGTAGTTCAAGAACCTTACATCAGTACATTTCTTTTTTTTATTAAGTTTGATAAAACTATAATTACCAAATAAAGGAATTATGTATTGTGTGTACTCTTTGGGGGAGAACTCTTTACATTAGGCCCACCAATTAGTCCACAAAAAGAAGGAAAAGGAGGGGAAAAAGACAGTACAAAGAAAGGAGATAATATACTGCAGAACAGTTAGATAAGGAAAGGAAGAAATTACTTCTCTTTTCGGCTTTGTCTCATTCACATTCTAATAGCTTTCTGCTTTTAGCTTACGCAGCGAAAGGTATCTTAACTATCTTTTCTGCCAGCTCTGCTACAGAGGTTGTTACCAGTCAGTGCAGAAGGACAGTAGCTTCTAAAAACTCTGCAGCAATTCTAGGAGTAATTTTAGCTCCACCAAGATAACATCACAGTAGTAATTGCTTGAATTTGCAGCCTTTGTAATAAGCCATAATACATGGATAAGAATGCATTTCTAGTTACTAAATATTCTTCTTTCTTTGCTAAAGGGTCTGTAAAAGTGGAATGCTTACATAGCTTGTATAGATACACATATACATATATATATATATGTTTGCCATTAGGATGAATTTTCTGTTATTTACCTCACTGTTGAATTAGGAAGTCTTGGATCACTGTAATAGCTTCTGTTTGAATGAGATTATAACCCCAAGTAATCAAAAAAAAATAGTGTTCTTTCTGTGGACAGCTGTTTGACTTATAAGATCAACTTTATGATGGTACTCACTGGTGTTGGCAGTTGTGTTCCTATGAAATATGATGCAATTCTGATGGATAGCTGAAAGCAGCAGAATTGTGGCTGTGAACCTGCAGACTCGACTGGTTCTAAACCAACTGAACTACTGACATAAATATCTCAGGATTACATGTTGTGCTTGCATCATTTTAGATACGCTATTTCTAGGGAGATTACCGTATTATCTGTGCTTTGGAAAGAAGGAGATGTACATATGCTATGAATTTGTGCCTAAACAAAAATTCAGTTCAGGATTTATTTTTTTTTTACATACGTTACAAAATAATGATTGATATTCCACATCCTTATTGCATTTTTATCAAAAAGCATTTTACACAAATCCTCTTCAAAATTCGTTCTTTGTACAGACAGTTCTGTTCTTGAGAAGATGGGAGTCAGTGGTCACATACAGCAGATATTAACCATATTGTTTACTACAGTAGTTGCAATTTTAGGAACAGTAGTGATAAAGACTATTAAAGTTCCTCAGTTGCATGATGTAAATTATAATTTGAGTTCTAAATTAGGAAAAACATAAAGGAATGTCTTGAAAGTTAAAGTTGAGTGTTTTTCTTTTTTTTCTATATTATCATTTTAGAGACATATTACTATATATCTCCTTTGGTTGGTGCCTTTTTTTTGGCTCTGACTCCGATGGGGATTGTCATAGCTGCCAAACATCCAGCTACCAGAACTGTTCTCCATTCAGGATGGGAGCCTGTTATAACTGCCATGGTTATAAGCAGGTAAGTCTATTTATCTTGCGTCATCTTGATAGTCATCCCATGTCTTTGCATCTTATTTAACACCTGGATGTACTTAAAAGAAACATTTAAGGAGCCTCTAGAATATAAAGTGTGCATAAACTTTAATCTTGTCCAAATGATAAAGTTACAAAGTTAAGTCACAGGTGGGAATACTGCAAGGAAGTCAGCAGTAGCCTATGGCCATAACTGAGTGGAAGTGTACTGTATCAAATGAAGAAAATGGTGGGATATTCATCTCCTGCAGTTTCCAATCAAGATTTTACATTATGATTATTTAATCCAATGAAAGTTATGAATCTTAAGAGTGGAGTTATTGAAGGAAATTCTTTGGTCTTTTGTTATGCAAGAAATCAATTTTAGTATCTAAATAACTATAGCAATGTTAGTCTGTGGCTGAGAATGACATAATGGGGCAGGAGAAAAGATGAATTGAGAAGGAAATTGTGGTTTGAAGATGTTTTCAAAAAATTGCTAAAAAAGTTTTTAAATACTAATTAATGTACTTGTTTGCCTTATTCTACAACTTGTGCTTTGTTTTTCAGTATTGGTGGCCTTATATTGGACACAACTGTATCTGATCCCAACTTAGTTGGAATTGTTGTTTATACCCCAGTAATTAACGGTAAGACTCTGACAGGATTAGGTGCTACTGTATATCAAATGATATATCTTGCTTTGAGAAAATTCTTTTACGGTAATTTTCTGTTATGCTAATTAGTACTTGGTATATTAATTTCAAGCTTTGATTTTGATGTCAACAGTTGTTTATTTGAACGCCTAGGGAGTCCTTCCCAATCTTATTTATTACAACCATTAAAACACGATAGAGAATGTGAGAAGTAGGAACGCAAAGTATGCATTTAGAAACTGGAAGTGCAAACATTGAAGTAGTATATTCAAATATTAAATTATTAAATATTATATTGAGATGGTTATGACTGAGGAAACTGGAGATAAAATTTTATTTCAAAGGATTTTCTTGTAAACATGCAAGGACAAATTTTCAAAATGGTAATTTATATGTAAATGTACGTAAATATAAGAACTAACAGGGATGCTACAGGCAAATAAATAGGTTTCTTAAGAAAAATGTGTGTTGTTGCCCATGCTTGGTAAGCACTTTCCAGGTGTATAAGAATGTATTTGTGCAAATTTGGTCCTTAAGCGTCCTCTTTTCTAACAATAAAAACAAGGCAAATTTTATAAGAACAGTTAATATCTTATTGGACTGATGCAGTTTGAAAATGCTTTTTTTTTTTTCCTATAGTATCACAGGGTCGATACATAGTTTGCAGTAATTATAGTAACCGGATCTTTTCCAGCTGTGTGACTGCATAGCTGTTCTTTCCCCTTTTGTATTCTTCCGTTTGATTTCTTAAATTATTTTGCACTTTTATGTATTGTTGATCTTTAAACCATTTCTCCAATTACCAAGATGAATCTGACTTCTAATTTTTGGCTTACAAGCGGCTTAAATTGGCCTTTGAAAATTCCATATGGGTATATTGTTTTCTCTTTTCTAAGCTATTAGTGAAATTAATTATCACCACTTGTTTTCCACCTAGATAATAAAAGGTTAATATGGACACTGAGTTTTAGTTTTGAACCACACGACCCTGAAACAATTACTTTTCCAGAGTCTGCTAATGGAAATTAGTATGGGATAGCACCAAAACATTTTACTACAGTTGAGGGTTAGTATATCTATTCCTGTAACCATTAGGCAAGCTGCTGAGTTAGAGGAGGAAATCATATTGTTTTGACAGAATCATGTTCTTGGCAAATTCATGTTAGCTCTTGTTTTAAAGCTTTCATATCTTTTGGATGTTTATAAATTGCCTATTTAATAATTTGTTGTAATACTTATGTAGGAATTTAAGTTTCACCAATATACGGATTCCCCAGATGACCCTTTCTGTCCCTTTCTAAAGATACATTTTCTGTTTTCCCCAATACAGCCCTCTGGTATTCACTAACCTCCAAGATAATCAGTTTGCAAAAACGATCACTGCTAATTCATGGATTGTTCATCTAGCTCTCTAAAGATGCACTAAATTTAACTTACCCTCAGGCCCTAATACATATCAGTTTGTTATCAGATATCATTTTTATGAAGGCAGTAGACAAAAGGAACTGAGTATTTTTATCTTACACAGAGCATGTTACTTGTTCTTCTTTTCCTTAAAGGCCCTGTATTTCTTTGTGCTTTTAATATGAAATATTTCTGTGTTGCCACTCGAGTTCCTTGCTAACTGTAAATTAGATTTTACACTCCAGCCTTTATGCTTCCTTGCCTGTGCCTTGCCTTTATATTAATTAAAAATTGCAAAAACTTGCATCTATCTTTTGTGAGCTTCCATTTTGATTTCCAGATACCTAAAGAGCAAGGCAGACATGCAATTGATCTTCAACTATTTTCTGCTTTACATCTGTAAATTTTCTTGTAATAGTCCTTTTTGGTAACCCACTGCATTTGCTTTCTAAGAGAGGATTTTTTCCTTTTAAGCAGGTATACTCAAACCAGTACTTTTACCAGTGATCCTGCTTTCCTAGATGACATCCATTGATTATAAAAAACAACTGTCTGGTGATTATTTTTTACTGTTTCCCCAAAGGCTCCTATTTCTGCTCCAGTACAGTACCAGAATATTTCCACATCTTCTCTATAGACTCATTTATTATCTATCGACTCATTCTAGGCTTGGATACAGGTCTTATAGATACACAACTCTCTCAAGGCCTCATGTTCCTGCCACATGTTCAATAATGATGGTCTTTAACCTGTAGCAGTAAAATAACTCCTCTTGTGAGTGGAGCTGTGCATCTTGTTCACTGTCATTTTCTTTCACAAAAAATGGCTGTGAAACCTAGATTGCCTCTGTGTTTACACTTTACCCTTTTAACGGTTTTAGCTAGTGATTTGACCTAAGTAAATAATTATAATTGCTAAGAATGAAAGCTTGCTATAAACATGCCTCTAGAAAAGCAGTAAATGTACTACTTTGTTTCTTATTTTCTTTCAGAAGTCTATCAACAGTATTAAGGCAATGCACATACATTCATTTGAACTATCTTTAAAGAAAAAGAACTAGCCAAATGCTAGTTGATTAGCCGTCAGGTCATAGAATCAGCTAGTTTGGAAAAGACCTTTAAGATCATCAAGTCCAACTGTTACCCCAGGACTGCCAAGACCACCACTAAACCATGTCACGGAGGGCCTCATCTGCATGTTTTTGAGCACTTCCAGGCATGGTGATTCCACCACTGCCCTGAGCAGCTGTTCCAATGTTCATGGAAGTTTTGTATTTCTAGGTTGTTCTTACCCTTTGTCATCTGCCCCTTGGTCTACTATGCAATGCCTGAGAATGTTATTTTCCAAGGCATACCAGGTGCCTTACTCCATTGTTCATGTGAATTTTTCATGCTTAGCTCCTTTTCTTGCTATGCATAAAGCAGTCTTTCCCCAGCTCTGAAAGTTCAGACTTCTTCAGTGATTAGTAATGAACCATCAGTGAGTTGTTTATAGTCCTGAGTCTGTATTTCAGGACGTTTCAGGACCTTTGCTATTATCCCAATCTCTTACATTGTAGGGAAAGAAGCCTCCATTTTGGAGCTCATACCAAGCTCACAACAAGCTTAATAGGACAGGACTAAAGTTATCCTAAGGCCTATGGCCTCTTACTGCTGATAGCAATAATGCTTTTGCAATGCCACTGGGCAACAACAGAAGCACTAAGGAATTTTATTATCCCTCATTCAGAAAGGAGCAGAGGGGAATAATGTGTTAAGTTATATGTTTGTGTGCTAACACTCTCAACCCTCAGAATTCTAAGGATAGAGGCATTTCAATTGGAAAATATAGAGAAAATATGTTCTGTGTAGAGGATGCAGAGTGGGCCTGTTTTATGGTACACCTCTTTGAAAAGGAAATTGTAGGTAGGTGATTTTTTGGTTGCTGTTAGGTTAACCTCTCCTGGGTTTCATAACTCTGCTGGCACCTTTTGATATTGCTGGTCAGTATACTGTAGTAAACTGGAGTTTAAGAAATCTTTCAGTTAAAAAAGCACATCTGTTGACAGTCATTTACTGACATAAAAGGTGTGCTAGACCACTTAACGGATGGCTTTTTAAATATTATTGTTGCAGAAAGCTTTCTCTACCAGTGCTTTCCAGGTCTTGGAATTCTTATTGTAAGCCTAAGTAATGAAATGAGCTGAGAATTTTCCCTCAAAACGCTTTTCATATGCTTTTTCCTTTATCTTAACTGAAAGTTTGTTGCCTGTATGGCACAGAAAACCTGACAGAAACCAGGGAAAACCTGAAAGAAATATTATAACCTGTTAGGATTGAGTCCAGCCATAATTTGAGGATAGTGTAAATTTGTCCAGGATTTTCAAGCTGTCACTGTTTTATTCAGTGCCAGTTGCCACACCTCGGAATCTGGAACAGTATGCACTGCAAAACTGCCAGTGTTAGCCTTCCTGTGTGCACCATTAAATGGTGCTTTCAATGTGGTTCTGTCTACAAGGTTTGCATAATCTTAGAGGTGGGACAAGTAACTTTCATCACATACATTACAGTGTGGACCCATAAATCCTTTGGTTTAAGAAATATTGGTCTGGAATATGAGCAGCCTCAAAGGTTCCTACCCCTGTTAACAATAACTGCAAATATTTGCCAAGAATATTAAAACAGTTCTTAAGCAGGTGGGCATTTATGGTCAGCTTTACTGCTGGTGGCCAGAAGTATTTCACAACCGTTATTTTCCATTTTCCCCCTATTAAACACATTTATTGAGATTAAAAATTATTTTTAATTCTATGTTTGGTTGGTTTAAATTGTAACTCCACTTTTAAAAATAATAAAATCAGTTTGTGGTTTTGGCCATTGAGGTACTTACAAAGTACTTGAGATTCAGATGTCCGTGTTTGTTGTACTGAGGGTCTGAATCAAATAACTAAGCCCAAGCATGCCTGTGCTTCAGCATAGACACTCAAGTAGATCTTTATGTTTTCTAATGGATGAGGTGGTTAAAATTTGCAAATCCTTTTACAGCATCACAGCGTGTTGAATTTGGCTCAGGAATTGCAATTTCCAGGTAACTGAATTCCTTTTGTGCAGAAAAAAGATAATGCCTTAAACAATTATATGCTTTGTGAATATGCAGCAGAAATTAACTAAGGTGCAGTTACCAGATAGAGCCACTTTCCTCCCTGTTTTCACTGTATGCTTAGACAAAACATGGTGATATATCTTCTAAGTATTTGCATTTCAGGAGTTACTGCATAATAACCATCATGTTGATAGACTTCACTCCATTTTTATGCATCTTGTAGAATGGAGGTTCTGCAATTTAATTCTGAAAACACCTGAAAATTAGAAATGCTTTGTAGGCTATGTGTAGAAAAATGTGCCTTTGCAGATGGTTTAAAGCAATATTCTTTAAGGGTAACACGAACCTGTTGTAATATTTCTTAATATTTGTCTGTACGTATTGTAAAAGTATTTTATACCTGGAGGGAATAAATGTAGATCAAGGAATACAAGAAATCTATATGAGAAAATTTAGCACAAATCTTACTGAATGTCTGTTGTCTGGGAGATGAAAGTTAAGCTTATGTAATATATTCCCCAAACCATACCTTTTTTATCTATTAGTAGGATAAATTCAATGACAGATTCCAGGTCTTTCAGAGAGCTTTTCCTGTAAATTGTTTTTGAGAATATGGAAAGAAAATACCCAGAAACCATTCCTCCTCAAAAAACTAAAATGCATTTTTAATGACTGTATATTTTAATCTCTGATCGCGTAGTTGCGCTATCAGTTTGCACATAACAGAGTAGTGCTTTGTTTAGAAGATAACCATTGTTTTAGACAGTCAAGCATCTCTAAGTGACAAGGGAAAACATTAGTGTAGTTGTATGGTAGTAGAGCAATTTGGCTAGGTAGCAAATTAATTTTCCTGCATCCTGAATTGGAAAGAACGTGATAGTCTCAGAAGGCACCTACGCTGTAAGAGAACATTTTAATTCAGTCTTTATTTTAGCAGGAAAAGGAGGAGGGGTTTGATTTTGGATATTTACTTTTGATGTATTATCGGATGTGAGTTTTAGTGCTTTACAGTTCATAGTTTCATAGATCTATAGAATCATAGAATGATTTAGGTCTGAAGGGACCATAAAGATGAACCAGTTCCACCCCCTGCCATGGGCAGGGACACTTTCCACCTGCTTGCTTGGAGCAACCAGGTTGCTCCAAGCCCCGTCCAACCTGGCCTTGAACACTGCCAGGGATGGGGAAGCCACAGCTTCTCTGGGCAACCTTTGCCAGGGCCTCAGCACCCTCATAGTGAAGAATTTCTTCCTAATGTCTAATCTAAATCTCCCCTCTTCCAGTTTAAAGCCATTCCCCCTTGTCCTATCACTTCATGCACCTTCAGGTTCCTTGGATGGTCTTAAACTAGATCTTCTCCTACAGCAGGTAGTCTCCCAGTCCCTGCCTTTGCCTTCTGCCACTTGAGTAGTGTGGCTGGAGCACTTGCCTACCTAGTTGCTAAACTGTACATGTAAATCTGCATATTCTGTGCTATTATAGGTGTGTGTTTTCATTTAGGCCTTTACTTGTAAAGTTTTTTAGAAGATTTCAGTTATCATTAGTTTTCACAACACAATTATATCAGAATATTTTATTTTTTTATATATGTATACACAGGGAACAATTTTTTTATTAGGCATAGGAGAGAAATTATTTATGAGTAAAACATAAAATGTAATAGTTTGCTTATATAACATTGTTTCAAAGGCTTCTCTTAAAGCACATTCATATAGGAAAAGCTAATAATTTCCAACTGCTTTCCCGCAAGCGTTTTAAAGTATTAAAATAAATGCGACAAAGTAAAAAAGGAAGATGGAAGAAATGCAGATTAAAAAAGCAATGTAAAAATGTAGGTAGTTAAAGCTAGGCTTGTAATCTAAATATGTAACTCCCATAAAACATGATTTTTTTTTTAAAGTTAGTGGTAGAGTGGTCAGGGCAAAAGTTAATCTTGAATCTTCTGAAAGATAATATTATTAAAAATTTTACAGCTTTTGGTTACTGCTGTAACTGAGTTTTTTTTTGTTTTTTCAATTCATTTCATTTTTATAATAGAAATACATCCAAAAGCAAGTTGTTGTTGAACTCCAAAAAGGCTAATGGGGAAAACTGACTGTTTTGAGCTATGGATTGTCTCATGACTATATGATACTATATATAAAAATGTATTTTTATTTATTATTATTATATATGTTAGTATATTTGATTTTATATTCATATATATTGGGGTGCTTGTTAGACAAAAGAGAACTGTGATACAAATTTTCGGAAGTATTCTTGCTTAATTCTTAACTGACTCATTAAAAAGATGAGTGTTTTAATTTTCTGTTAAAGTTTGAAGTCAGCATGCCATCCACGCTTCAGCAGAGAACATCTCTTCTGCTTATTGACAAAGTAGCACTCTCATAGTGAAGCTAAACAGATCTGCTGCTCTGAGAGGAATGCAGAACAGTTGCAGGATTTTACTTTTGAAAAAGATTATTTTCCTCTGTGTTATAGTTCTCACAGGAATGAAAAGAAGCTAACTAAGTTAATCTTTATTATCAGGTATTTGCTATGATTACTTCAATGCTGTTTACCTGGAAAAAACAACAAATCTGACTTAAACGTTCATGGAAACAGTCCTCGTATACATCTACAGAGATTTTCATAATATGAGCAGCTACAGAGCACATGACAATTTTATGCATTTGGAAGATGCTGAGAAGCTATCAATTTTGGTATTGACATCTTGTCAACTGATGCAGTTTTATCTACTTTCTGCTACTTGCAGGGATCTGATTAATCTGATACTGCTGAGATAACATCACATGCACAGTAACTCCTGTTACAAAACAGGGTATCTCTGTACATATCGAAGTGATTAGTTTAATGCAGCTTTATGCATGTCATTCTATGACCAGCAAAACAACAAAACCTGATAGTCCTCTGTGTGTGGTTCCCTGTGAAAATAGAGCCTGCATCTTCCTTGTTGCTGCCCTTTAAAAAGGGTGATGTCCCCTGAGCCTTATCCAAGGAGAAAAGGCATAACTCCTTCAGTTTTTCCCCATAGAGCAGGTTTTCCGGACCTTTGATCATCTTCATGGCTCTCCTTTTGACCTTCTTCAGTCTGTCCACATTTTCCTTGAATTGTGGGGACCAGAACTGGACACAGTACTCCGGGTACAGCCTGACAAGCACTGAGTGGAGTGGGATGATCACATCTCTGTCTCTGCTAGTGATACCCCTGATTTGCCTTTGTTGCTGCACTACAACAGTAACTGATGTTAATCTCATCCAGAGGACCCCCAGGTCCCTTTCAACAAGGTGCTGCCCAGCAACACAGACTGTAGTCTAAACTGGGCTCTTTGGTTACATCTTCCCAGGTGCAGGACTTCTCGTTGTTAAACTTCCAGCCTGTCCAGGTCTCTCTGTAAGATAGCTCTCTCTTTTGATGTGTCCATCTCACTACTCAGTTCAGTGTCATCAGCAAACTTGGTGAGGGTGCTTTCAGTCCCATCATCCAGGTAATTTCTGAAGTTGTTGAACAGTGTGGAGCCCAGTATCAATCCCTGGGGATTGATATCCCAGTTGTGACAGGCTGCCAGCTTCCTCTAAAAACTGTTGATCACTACTTTCTGAGTGCAGCTTGTTAGCCAGTTTCCCACCCATCTCGCAGACAACCCATCCAGTCTGTAACTTGCCAGTTTGTCTAGGAGGAAGCTGTGGAAAACCACCAGATACTTTCCTGAAGAAGGGTGTGACATTTTGCCCTGATCCAGTTGTTAAGGAATATCCCCATATCTCCATGACCTTTCAAAGATTATATACCTTGGCCTTGTAACAGTGCCAGCCACTTCTCTTTGCATCCTAGGCTGGTTTATTTCATAGAAATCTTTTTTCCTAATGGGAAGTATATCAGCGGTTGTCACAGAGAAAGTAGAATCTCCATTACTACCATTCTTTAAAAAATCTATTATTCAGACACTTGTCCTTTCAACCTGAATTATAAATGGCAGAAAATTACAGTTAATCCTTCTCTTTGGTGAAGGGGAATTAATAGATTAGCTCTTGAAGTCTTTTCCAGCCCTATGGTTCTGTGTGTGAAATCTGCATTTCAGCTTCTGACAGCGAGTGCTTCTGCTTTGCATTACTTGCCAGCAATACTGACCTAGGAAGGTAATCCAGCAGTGGCATGACTATGTAGTACTTCTATTGTTACAGAAGGATTTCCAAAGAAGAGGGAGCAATGAAAGGGAGCTTCACCTATGAGAAAGGATCAGATTGAACCTTTTGGAAGAGCCTTTTGCACTTAACATGAATAAAACTGACCTCCAAAGTATCCAGTGATACACCAAATTGTAGCCCAAGTATTCTGGCTTATTTTAATGCTCATTTTTAGCCCATTTATAACTAATATGTTTTCTGAAGATGTTTATCTTTTTGACTTTTGTAAGTAGAGGACTATATAGGTAAATTTGCAAAAATATTGCCTACTAGAGAAAAAAAATAGTTGAAAATTTACCACTTGTTTCCTTTTGTATTTCAGGCATTGGTGGTAATCTAGTAGCTATTCAAGCTAGCAGAATTTCTACCTACCTCCATTTACACAGCATTCCTGGAGAGTTGCCTGAAGAAGCCAAGGGTTGCTATTATCCTTGCAGAACATATTATGGTACAGGTATGTATTAGTTAATTGTCAAAACTGCTGTCTCATGTCTCCACTTTTCCCCCCTCTATGCCAGACTGTACTACCAATGAGAATTGTCAACAGACTAAACTTGGTGTATGCAATTCAAAGGCAGCAGCGACTTGGCAGTTTCCTTTGCCTGCAGTTGTTTGACTGTGAGAATCACAAGGAACTCCATAGGAGGAGGTGGTGTGTAGAGAGGAACACAGGAAAAGGTGTAACCCTAGCAAGGGTTGAAGATAGAGGCATGATGCTGTGATAGCCACTCAGAAGGATTTCAAACTTCATCTTTGTTTAGCCTGTTTACCTGCTCCTGACCTTTGTCATTTAACTCCAGAAGTTCAAACCAATCTCCTGTTAGGACCAAACTTTATATCTAACATTATTGCTAAGTTCCTACTTGCCATTTCCCCCATTTCCCATTTGCCATTCTCTTTCTACATTCTTGTTTCACAGCTTATTCCTCCTCTGTATTGCCCCCTTTTCTAATAATGTAGCAACAGTGGTGAAAGGTGATGTCTCAACAGTGTGTGTTCCACTTTCATATTTATGAAATGGATTGGAACTGATGAGAAAGTGGTAACGTGGGGATTACTTGTTAGAAATATAAGGTACTTTTGAGGGTGTCTCGAATATGGTGTCCAAAAGATCCTCTTTCCTAGGATGGCTTTAGGAAGTCACTGCAACTCTAAAAATTAGATGGTATTACATGAGTGCAGAATGAAAGCAGACAGTTAACACTGTCTCCTGGAAGGGCCCTGCTTAACTTTTCTGGCAGACACTAGCAGTGGCTTTTTTTTTCCCTGTGTGAAAATCCTCAAGAAGCCTTTTAGCAGAAAATAATGGCACTGTTCCCCAGTAGTCAATGCTGTGGAATTTCAAAATGGCTTTTTATATTAAAATTAATAAAAACCTGATATAGTAATTGAAAATGTAACTGAATTTGGTAATTTTTTTTTTATTGCAGGAGTAAATAACAAATCAGCCCAAGTTCTGCTTCTTTTGGTGATTCCTGGACACCTGATTTTCTTGTACACTATCCACTTAATGAAAAGCGGCCACACTTCCTTAACTCCTATCTTTATAGCAGTATATTTGTTTGCGGCTCTGTTACAGGTAAGAAGAAGTACTAGTTGAAAATCAGTTTTTTAAAGAAAATTATGTTTATCTGATTTCTGAAATCTCATGTATAGTACAAGAAGGTATGGGTTAATACAGGTTTTCAGCACAGTTCTGAAGTAATTCATTATCTCCGCATGTATATAGCTTACCCAGATGTATCTGTATTGTGAGTGCTTTTCAGAAAACACCTGACTTCATTACTTCCCAGTCATGCATCTTGAGCTTTCTTTCACATGCTCCTTGGAACCATTGCATCTAAAACCCCCATCCTTTTAATCAACTACAAGGGAGGTGGAGAGAGAGAAAAGTGGCAGTCATGAATAATGAATGTGTTGTCAGGGAAAACTGCCAAAAAAAATCTCCTAAAGTGGTTCACATTACAATTTTAGTTAACATGTTCAAATATACAGTAAATGAGAATGTTATGGCTTGGTTGGTGCATTCTTAATATTTATTAAAGCAGAAATTAGTCTGACAGCGATCACTGTACAAGAAATTGTAATTGCATTAGTTGTCAAATGTTACATTATTTTGGCTGGTCTTACCTAGCAGCCTGTAGGAACCAGGCGATGGCAGTTCTTGAAACACGCCTTTTGAAATAGCAATGTCTCAATTTAAATAATTTCATCTAGAGAAATCCGTGAAACAAAAATAAATGTTTTTCTTAAATCTATGGCCAATTTTTAGCTAAAACCTGGCTGAATTGCCAATAGAGTTTCATTGTACCTTAAAACCAAAAATTGACTGTTTGTGTTACACAATAAAAATGCAGTTGAAATTTCCATTAGTTATACATACTGCTTCTATAAATGTGGCCAATTTAGTTTTAAAATACAAACAATACCATCAGTCAATCCTTAATAAAAATCATAATTTTTAATGTTTTAGATTGCCTAATAAATGTCTAAATTTCAAAAAAGATAGGGTTCAAAAACTGTTGCTATTTTAATTTCATATGAGACTTCTGTACTTTTTTTTGGTAGAAGTGGTGACATTCCAACCTTTGCAAATGAGAATGTCATACTAAAAGTTGTAAATTACTTTTCATTCTCTTCTTACATAATATTCCTAGTGTCCAACCTTATCACTGGTTTTATAATGTGTTTTCTTGAGGAAATGATGCTGTTTCTTCATTCTGTCTGTTCTGGTTGGCTGACTGTCCTTTCTAATAACTTTTGAATCCTTTGGCCCATCTCAGTCAAGTTTTTCTGTGTCTTGGCATTTCTTTGTCTTGGCTACACTTAACAAAAACAGGATGGGGAAAGAGTCTCCGTTAATGTCTCTGCTGAAGGTAACACTGCAGTGTGATTTCAGCCATTATTAGACTTCAGGGATTTCACATAGGAATCAGTCTGAATTCATAAATCCATATGAAATTCATACAGTCCTTGGCTCACACAACTGCAATTGTATGTTTAGGGATAAAAAGCTTTTCTTCAGCAACAGAGGACAGATCAAGATTTGAGAAAAGCAGTTCAGCCAAAAACCAAGTTAAGGGATTAGAGCAGGACTTTCCAACACACAGTAATTCAGACCCAGCATCAACATGTATGCACATGTAAAGTTGAGTTTTATAAATTCAAGGTCTGATTAGAACACTGGGTTTTGCAGTTGTGTATCTGAATTGCAGTCTATAAGGGCAGAGCTGATTTTCTTGATTTTTTGTGTGTAAAGTGGATTCCCTTTCCCTTGCTCCCTTTTATAAATTATTTTTTCTTCTTTGTCTTCTGTCTTTAGCCATAACAAGTAGTTTTAGATGTATTTACTTGCACACTATAACTTCTCATGGGTCTTGACAAATTTACAGTTTTGGAACCCCATGTTTTTTAACACCTTCTAAAATATTTATAGATTCATTTCCCCGTTTTAATTATTCTGGCATTTTTCTAGTAGTGATTATTGTAGTTTTGCATACCTCTAGTTAGAGCAGATTTAAAATGTTCAGACAGCCATTTCTTGCTTTAACCCTTAAATCTTGAACATATATTTATTTACTAAAAGCAGTTGTGTGCTTTTAAGTTTCTCTTTTCTCACAGAAGGCCCTTATTTGTACTCATTCCTCTTCCCTCTTTTCAGTGACATCATCTATGCACCTGGGTGTTGTAAAGAACAGTTTTCAAGCCACCATTTCTTTTGGCATAAACCAATACTTACTGATCTCATTTGTCCGTAATTCTTTCAGATTTTTTTCCTTGCAGTGAGAGCTTTTCCAGTTCTGCTTTAAAACTGGAAAACCTCACAACTAATTATTATCATTTAGATTATCAACAAAACAAATCCATTCACAGTCTTTTGAGCAGTGAGAGATCTGCATTCTAATCCTTTTTTATCATGTATTGGACTTCACATTAATCTTCACTCTACATGGAAGGCTTAAAAAAATGGATGTCAAAATTACAAGCCTGCTTGCAGGCTTTATCTTTTATGTTTGAGGTGGTAGGTGATAATTTAATAGAACACAGTGGCTCCCAAAAGTAAGAGTTAATTATGGTCAGTCTTGTGTTTGAGGAGGTTTGATATCACTACTTTGCCCTTTGCAATTCCTTACATATATTGAGCTGGGGGTGGAAAGGGTAGCTGAATAATGATTATGACACCATCTACTTACATTTTTTGCACTGTGTTAAACTATTAATGCTAAACTAAAACCCAACAACAGCAATAAAGTGATTTTTCTGTCTTTAAAATTCAAGTGACTACTGAAATATGTTAAATTATTAATGACATATTTTACAGAGGACTAATGAAGGTTGTTTGTTAACTTCAAGATCTGTTTATTATCTCTGACTGTCCAGCTCTTTGTTTAAAATGGAGAGGAAGGGGTTAAGGAAATGACAAAAGTAGAACTAGGATGTTACAGTACACTAAAAAAAAACCCAGGGAAATATTTATACAAAAACTTTAGCTATGACTAAAGACTGTTAGGTCTGAATTAGCTCTGTAGTGGAGAGTCTCTTCTGTGTTTATGAATGGCAGCACCAGAGGAAAATATTAAAAGGAAAATAGGAAGGAATATATAGGAAGGTATACCCTGTAAGTCTGTAGGTACTCCATGTAATGCAGTGTACAGTATCTGGGCAAGCCAGTGTGTATTAATGAAAAACAGTATATTGATTTTAAATGTGTTTTGGATTTTGTGAGTGGCCTCTATTTCAGAGGAATACTCCTTTTTTAAAAATTTTGCAAGTCACACACCAGTATGCTGCATGCAGTTACAATCTGGTGTTTGACCAACAAAGAGTATATTAATTGAAAAACAGTCCTCTGCTTATACCTCAGAAAGGCTCAAGTATTTTTTAGCTGTATGAGGCTATGTACCGAGCAAAGTTTCATCCTCTGTCTTGTCAACCTGCAGTAGAATGAGAGCAGCAGTGGAATTGCCAAGCCATCAGTCCTGGCGAATGGTTCTGAGCATTTAAAGGCAGCCTCTGTTCTGTATGTTCTCACTGAGCCAGTAAAACGCCCTCTAAGGAATTTTCACACCTCCTAACCAAATCAGAGCACACAGTCATGTTAAAGACTCGGGGAATAAACAAACAATAGGAGATTCCCAGAGCTATTACCAAGCAAATAAGTAATTCCAAAATGCAGCCCTTATCCAGTGAAGGTCAGATGTGAAGTAATTTTTTGCAGGGCTTCAAGGCTGTTTGGAGCAATAGAAAGCCAAGAATTCAGCAGTGCTCGTAATGACTTCCTTCTCACATCAAAAGCATCTTGGATGTCTCACTAGTGTGGGGATTCTGATGATGGTATGGGCTTCTTCAGTGTGGAAAAATAACTCATGTGGTATACTGTACATTATAGAGAAATAAGGAAGGTTGTGTTTATAGAGAAAATATTGATGCATTTTAAATACTGCTTTTTCTAATAGGAAAGGTTATTTCCGAAATGTAAAGCAAGTTAACTGCTAAAAGAGACTACATTATTCAAGGGAATATGAAAACTAAGGTCCAAATGTGGACAGTTTTGTATATTCAGTGCTTTTTCATTGCAGCATGAGAAGCAGACTTGCCATATTTACTGGGATCTGAATGTGGCTATCACCCATGCTCTCAATTCCAGGGATGTTGCTGTCTGTGGTAGAAGCCTGGCTCCTACCAGGTCATTAGCAGGGATATATAATTTTTGCCTCCAGAAGGCTGAGCTCGAAGTGCTTATGTATGGAGCATGACACACTGAGTTGTGCTACAGCAAGTGCACATTGAGCATACCTGAAAACTTAATGGTCAGGATTGCACTCCCCATTCAGACAGCTGACAAAAGGCCTGAAATTAGGACTGTCTTGGTTAAATCAGAATGTCTGACAAAGAAATCGTGAAGACAGTCTCAGGAATTTTATTAAATCTGTGGAATAAAAAAAAGTGCCATAATCAAATTGTTTTAGAAAAAACTTCAGCTGAAATGGTATCCCCTTTTTTACTTAGATGAGATTTTAGTCTTTCATATAAGTAACTATGCTATGCTGTCTGGGTACTTGGATACCATAGTGTAGTTAATACCACTTAGGTACAACACAAACAGCAGCAGAAAGAAAGAACTTGCTGTTCAGTGATTTCTTTGCTGCCAGACTTGAAGGAAATCTCTATGTTTGGAGGAAATTATGACAAGATACACACCAGATACGCCACCTGAGAAGACAGGGGAGACAAATTTGTTTTGAAAAATACGTGTAGACCTACTCTGAGAGTGCACTGACTGCAGAATTCTGGCTTTAGAGAATGGAAATTCAGCAAGTTCAGTGTAGATCTATTATTAAACCTTACAGTTACTATTTAGCTTCAGGTGAAGACATTTAAAGCCATCTAAAATCTAAGGAATGTAATACAAAATTTAAGAGCTAACTTAATGAAGGATCAAACCCACCAGAAGACCTAAACTGTAAATCTGCTGAGAATGGTGTCAGAGTCAGGACACAGTATTCTTTAGAGATCCTTAATTGGAGGGTTTCACTCATCATTGAAAAACCTAAAAAACAAAAACCAAACTTTACCTTT